AGAAACGTATACTGTGATCACCACAATCAATAATTTTAAGAGGAAAAAAAGCAAACAACAAGGACATAAAGATTTTGAAGGAATATCGATGTAAAATATCTCTGAGGTGAGAAGGTTGATCTGTTTCTCCGGCCCCAAGCCAACGGACTTGATTTAGGCGAGTTTTATATGGGTAATCATGGAATAAAAACGTTATTCAATGATTTCTTGTGAAATTCAGAAAATATTCTTCCCTTGAACGTCTGTATTTCACTCTGCTAGCGCATCGTGAAATACAACCTTCTCGGGAAGAATATTTTCTGTATTTCACTCGAATCATTGAATAACTTATATTCCTCACTAATATTTTAACTATTCATTATTTTGCGATTGTATATTTGTATACATGATATTACATATTACAAACACAGGGTGAAACTTTATTCATGTTAGTGTGCTTGTAATATCATATCACTTAGCTTACAGTCATTACTGTAAATTTAACCGTGTTCTTAATATCATACTACTTAGCTTATGGTCATTACTGACATAATAGTTTTTCATTCCTCATTAATGCTGTAACTTTTGATAATGCACAACAATACTATTTCATGTAATTCATAAACTATAGAATATGATATTGACTATTTGACTATATGAGTATGATATTACAAACACATGACAAAACTTTAGTGTGTTTGTAATATCATACCACTAAGCTTATAGTCATTACTGACACAATTACTTTTCGTTCCTCATTAAAATTGTAACTTTTGGCAATTTTGCAGTTGTAAAATGATAAGTGTGATATTTCAAACACAAAATAGAACTATAGCAGTAATGGACTAGAATGTTTGTAATATCATACCACTTATATTTAATATAACAATTACTGAAACGATATAGTTTTAGTGTGTTTGAATATTACAAACACAAATTACAAAGAACATAATGAGTCTACAGCATCATACTCCTTAGCTTAGTTTCAACATCTTTATACACTGTTCATTCTTTGACCACATATTGGAATTTAATCTATTTTGCAATGTTATGCAATGTTATTACATAATCAGTATTCTATTATGTAAAATGTTGAGTGTTACATTTCAACTAACACATCCTGACTAACTCAGTCCATATTGCATGTGCTATGATGCATGTATGATGACCTAAATACACATGCCAGTATTACAGACTAATGCAGAGATTGCGCTATGTAGGGAATATAGTCAGATAGTATGATAAATGAGAATTCTACAGACCTTTGCATTTCATTTCATCAAACCATGCCTTTAACTCACTCTCCATACGAATGAGGCACTGTATTTTAGTTTGGAGGCTTACTCAATTTGACAAATTAATTGCACTATTCTTGCCTTACCAATTGACCTGACGAAGTTTCTTTCATTCATTGACTTAAATTGACTTATTGGTACATGTGCAGTCTCTTATTTTCAGCCTAGTTTTCACAAATCCTCTTTAACTTTCTCTTATTTGGCTTGCCTGCCTTTGATGGATCATCATATTCATAGTTGACCATATTGTGATACCTGAAACATAAAGAGCCTGAGATACATATGAATATTGAACAGTGTGACAACAAACATGACAGATGGATGAAATAAATGTTCATATAATTTTTATGATGTCAACACCAAGAAGTGATGACATATTGTTTTTTAATCATGTTTTTTTCATTTACAATTTTACATTTTAATATGTTCTACCTAAAAAACTGTAAAATTGACACTAAAATGGCGGCCATTTTGAAACTGGTGGATATTTTGAAAATTTACTTTTGAGCAGAAGTTGTACTCAAATGGGGCATTTCAAATTGCAGGTAAATTGGTTCATAACAATATGTTGAGAGAAATTATATATTTTTATCAATGAGTAAAATTGAAAACATTTACCATAAAAACATACCTGAAAAATCAAGGATCTTGACACATCCTGACTTTACACACCCTGCAAGAATACTTTGTGTCACACTTCTGTTTGTGTACAGTGCACCATGATGCTGTACTTTGCAGCTGTGGGGCATGAGCCATCTCCCTTTCATGTCTAATATCAGGATTCAGAATGACGCGTTTGTGATTGTTCATCATCATGCCATTGATGAGTCCAGTGGCTACTTCCAAGTGGAATTTCCTCTGTGGCATTGAGGCTACCGTGTGAAGCTTTGATAAAATAAGAAAATCATGTGAAGACATTTTGAATCAGGTGTAGTCACACTTTTTTTTTACTTTGGTGTACATTCTAAATGAGGTAACATTGTTATTCTACAAAATGTTTAGTACATACAATTGAATCAGTTATTATAATGCATGTTGAAAGGAATGAATTGCCCTAGTAAAAAAGAGATCTAATATACCACTAATACATCATCAATAGATCACCAATACACCATTAAAATAAGAATTAGTCAAGTCTTGTGTAAGCCATGTATTAAAGCTGGCAATATTCAGCTAATAGATCACTGTAGGATAGAAGTACAGTAGGGGTTTTAGGTTGAATGAGGTGTAAGTTGTATAAGTTCTCTATAACAAAACAGCTACTTTTTTATCTACATTTCAGCTCAGTGGCATTTCCAGAAGCTCAAGGGGATGCAGAAGAATTTTGGGGCCCCTAAAACAAAAAATTGGGCCCAAATTTTTTAAATGTAAGGCCCATTTTTGAAAAAGCCTAAAAAGGCCTAAAATGCCATATCATGCCAAAAAGGTCCATTTTTGAGGCCATACACAATTGCTGAGTCCAAAATATTCTGGGATCCTGGATCCGCCACTGTAGCTCTACCTTTAATATTGTTAATATTTATTACCTCAGTATGAATGATGTGTGCATTTACAAGAGACACCCTCATCAAATGGAAAAACACTTGTCGATACCATGTCCTATTTTGAAGTAACAACACGCTGGTTCGCTACATCTACTCCTCTCATAAACTTGGTGTAGAGTTGCACAAGCTCAGGTTTACTAACTTCTCCCTCGACCCACCTTCTTCTTCTCCTAGGATAAAAATGTATACAGTAGAAAAATAAACACCAAAAAGACTTAAAGGCAGAATCAGATATGTGAGGGTAACAAAATTACAAGCAAAATGTACAATTGACCTACCAATCTATTCCTTACAATCTCAAATACAATATCTTCCAAATGATTCACAATATGTTATAAATTGGTGAAGTTATAATGGATTCAAAGTGCAAAAATGTGTGAAAAATGATTAAATTCTCCTAAATAATAAAAATGATAACCATTCTTATAGAAACATAATACATGATTGTAAAAATCTTTAGTTTTCCTGCGAACAAGTGTAATGCACACTTCGGGGATTTTTAGAAAATAGATGTGAAACGGAAGGACATAAACCAGAAATATTCTAAAATTGAAATAATTTTTTGTTAGGCTGCTTGCTAGATCTGATCCTCTCTTTAACTAAGATGAATGGTAGCATACTGTAATCAAATTTAATTTAATTCAAATTTAGGATGCTTATATCAAACCAGAAATGAAATATGTGCTGTAGTATACATTTATTCAGTGCAGGGCTTATGTGCAGTTATTTTTTATATTGCCTACCTTGTGAATGATGGCACCATGTTACATCGCTTAGTAATCTTTGATGTCAGTATAGATATATTAAGCTCGTCTTTCCATGTCAGGACATAGACTGTAAGACCACGTGCGCACCTTGTAAAATTTGTCATTACTATCATCAACAGCATTGGGGTGGGAGAAATGAATTTGTCCATATATGCCCATAAAGAGGTTTTTCGACATAACCTCAGATATACCTGGAGTGGAAACCAATCTATTTTCTTCCCAATTATCGGAGATGCTGCCTTTCTTTTCTAATACATCCATGGCAAATAGTATACCAATGAAGGCTGACAATGTGTCACGATCCAGAGGTTACCAGCTGTTGTCCATGCAAGTTTGTACAAAGTACAATATAAGTCAACAATGAGTCAGTAAAAAAAATAGTTTGTAAAGTTCCACGGGTTGTAAAGTTCTCCATTTGTAATGTTCTTTGGTCAAGATGGACCTCCTGTAAATGGATATTCTTCACCAATCATCAAAATCTTCCCACTCTTCATCGTCTTCAGATGAACAAGTTAATTGACTGTCATTTATTGAGGAGGAAAATTGACTGTTTTGACTAGATAATGTAAATTCATTGATTTTATCACACTTGATCTGGCTCTATTGCACATAATTGTAAAAATATCCTAAAGTGAAAATATTTCGTCTTCCAAAATTTCAAACCGGAAATCAACACAAACACAGTCCAAAATGATTCCCGTTCAACAGCATAAATATAGGTGTACGCAGTATCTTCACAAAATGCAGCATGATAAATATTTAATGAATAACATAAGGTAAACGTTGGTAGCGAATATCTTGAACTGACATTCAGAAAAGGAATTTATAATTATCAAAATTTTTGTTTCGTGTTTTTTATTTTGGCGCGAAATTTAAACTCCGAAACAAATTAGGTCAAAGTTGTACGTTTTGCATACTATCGATGAGTTTAGCTTTTATATGTCAAGGTAGACTTGTGATAAGTATATGCTGTTATTATGAAGAAACAATCTCCAATAGTATTGAAGCTATTTGGAAAAGAATTCTGACTAATTTATTTCCGGCACGCCCACTTTGTCATGACGCGCCATACATTTGTTTTGAAGTTTCTAAAAAGTTTCAAAAAGTTGACAGACCGTCAAATATCGCATCGGAAAGTAATTATATAATCAGGAAATTGATATTTCTTATTCATTTATTTCAAAGGATATTATGCCTATCGTTTGACGAAATTTCATTTCAAATGAGCCACATTCGGCCCGGATATTAGGATTTTTCCCAAATTTTGATGAAATATTCAGCGACTACGGATATATCCGTAGTTGGGTGGTAAGCATGTGACGTCAAAACTACGGATATATCCGTAGTTGGGTGGTAATGGGTTAAGGGATATAACAGTGACAATTATAAAAAACATTTCTTGTTTTTCTTTCCAGTTTGCTGGTATTGTAGGCCACATCCCTATCACATTGGACACAACTAACAGAACAGATATACTCAGAATTATAGATAAAGCTAAGGTAAGAAAACCTCTTAAAGTAATATAGATTTCTTTTATAAATTATTTGTAATACTAAGGTCCAGTTTACATTAAGAGCAATTTGCAAGAGGTAAAGATGGACACTCTTTGAACATTGTAGTAAGAAGGCAGGCTCCCATTGACCACTAGCTATCAACATGATGCCATATTTACTCGTTACTTTTTGAACATTGTAGTAAGAAGGCAGGCTCCCATGGACCACTACATGTAGCTATCAACATGATTCCATATTTACTCAATACTCTTTGAACATTGTAGTAAGGGCAGGTTCCCTTGGACCACTAACTATCAACATGATGCCATATTTACTCATTACTTTTTGAACATTGTAGTAAGAAGGCAGGCTCCCATGGACCACTAGCTATCAACATGATGCCATATTTACTCATTACTTTGAACATTGTAGTAAGGGCAGGTTCCCTTGGACCACTAAATATCAAAATGATGCCATATTTACTCATTACTTTTTGAACATTGTAGTCAGAGGGCAGGCTCCCGTGGACCACTAGCTATCAACATGATGCCATATTTACTCATTACTTTGAACATTGTAGTAAGAGCAGGTTCCCTTGGACCACTAACTATCAAAATGATGCCATATTTACTCATTACTTTGAACATTGTAGTCAGAGGGCAGGCTCCCGTGGACCACTAGCTATCAACATGATGCCATATTTACTCATTACTTTGAACATTGTAGTAAGAGCAGGTTCCCTTGGACCACTAACTATCAAAATGATGCCATATTTACTCATTACTTTGAACATTGTAGTCAGAGGGCAGGCTCCCGTGGACCACTAGCTATCAACATGATGCCATATTTACTATTTGCTCCAGAGATGTAAAAATTACTTCCAGAGATGAGGTATGTTGGTCATTTTAAAATATTTAAATAATTTTTGTGAAAATATCTAGTTCTCCATTTGAGGGAGGTAACACTGTAGGCTCGATTTCTCCAGAAAGGACAAGTTAGAAGTATAATTGTTTGAGAGGTTTTGATTGTGTAAATATCTGAGGGGTTTTGCTTACCAGTGTCTGGGAGGTTTTGGTAAGCTGTGTTAATGTCTGAGAGGTTTTGGTAAGACGTGTTAATACCTGAGAGGTTTTGGTAAATAGTATAAATGTCAGCAGTTTTGGTAAGCTGTATAAATGTTTTTAGATATTTTTGGGGTTATCAGTGTTATGTCCAAGAGTTTGCAGTGTTGTTTGTATGTTGAATTTTACCCCTTGTGCTTTTTCATTCTCATTCCTGTTTTACATGCTATTTGTGTTTTGTGTACTCATAATATTAACAGTTTTAAGAATACTATTGAAATTGTAGTAGTCATTTCATATGATTCTGGTTGAACTGAACTTTGTGTATAAAAAAAACTTGCAATATATAAACATGTATTATTTTTCAGGAGGTTCTAAAGCTAAGATTACCAATTACTGAAATTTCTTCAATGTGCTATATAAGGGATGATGACACAGATATAATGGGGATGCTCTATGGTAACCCTGGTGAGTATCCATTATTTTTGCAAAATAACAAATGTCGAGGTATAATATATAAAATTTACTTTTAGCTACTTAAATCTTGAAATACTCTGTGTAGAAGCACTATATTTATTTATTGTTCCTTTCAAATTATTTACAAAACATATTATTACAATTTGACGCAGAGCGTATATTGTGTATTCATCTTGGTTGTCGTTTTTAAGGCTACCATGAAAATAAAATATTTCTATAATTCCATGTAAATATGATCAGGGTTACTATCAGAGATTAGGATAGGGAATAATGGAATAAAGCACGAGACCCTATTCAAACAAAGTCTGTATTCAGCACCCTATTCAAACAAAGTCTGTATTCAGCATTACAATTGACTCACGTTAGAAGAGACCATTTGCAATATTTGCTAACAATCAGTATTGAAATCTATATGTGGATATTGTTTGGACTTTTCATAGGATCATTCACAATCTTAGCAACCATAATATTGTCACTGACCACATCTACATGTATTTATGCAATTCTCTGTTGTGTTTAAAAGTTCAACATATAGTGACATAGTGACAGTCTCACTGTTAAAACCACTAGAACATGTTGATGTTGGTTTTATTTGAAGCCTAGGGGATGGTTTCAAATTATCATCAGTCGTGGAAAAACCAAGTTAACTTCAGTGTGGTTTGACCCCACCTCCCCTTATCAAACGAAATTTTAAAATGTTGATTGTATTTCACTTGAATACTGAAAAAACAAAAATTATTCGCTAACAAAACCATCATTTTCCCATTAACCACCCCCCCCCCACCCAATGAAACTAACTTTTTATTCCACAGCTGTTGATAATTGGACATCATCCCTTAATAATTGTTCTTGACCCTTTTTTCATTGATTCTTGGGACTCATATCAATTGTTTGCTAATCAATGGTTGTAAATAGATTGTATTACAACTCAAGACCACATCTCTTGATAAGATAACACTGACAATAAAACTGACCAAATACCTTGATAAATGTACATTGGACCAATAAATATCATTTTATATTGAATGTCAGGGACAGTGTTTATCAATATCAGTGTAATTAATTACATTTTGAAAAAGGAGCTAAAGTCCCTTTGATTTGTTATCATTACACGAAGGGGAAAGAAATTGCGACTTGATTAAAAATCAATTAAACATGGGGAGGGGTAATCTAAGGTAAAAATTAATCAGATTTGGGAAAATATGGAAATATTGAACAGGTCCCTTTTATTACCCTGAGCATCAAACATATCTGTCATACTTCAGACTAAAATTTGTTAAAAAACTAAATGGGACTCATATTATTATACCATATGATAATGTTACTTATTTATAAAATCATTTATGAACTGGTTATTTGTGTTATTTCAAGCACTGAACATATCCACTCAATTGCTTGATAAGGGAATATCTGGGCATATTTGAACTAAAGATTTTTTGTTTTGATCCTTGCTTATTTTAGGAAAAATAAATCCATGCTTCATTTCTATTGCAGATGATATTGGGAGGGACAGTAGTCAAGCCTGGGGAAAGTTTGCGTTCTTTTATTGCGACTCCAGGCGCACAGCAGAAGAGATCTGTGCTTTATGTAGAACTGTTTGTGATATAGTATATGAGGAGAGTCGGACCAGGGATGTCCTAGAGGACCTTGATAATGCCATCGATCCTCATGAAAACTCATCATTTTCTTCCTATAGAACCAGTGGTAAGACAGTTCTTATATTTGATTTGTTTTGTACTTGTATTGAAGTTGTCTTCAGAAATTAATCAATCGGTGTAGTTTTCTTCACATAGCTACTGGGCTAATTTGATATTCAGATTTTTATTTTTTGGCAGTCTACTACTGTACCAATGAAATAGGGAATTAATTCAAATCCGCTGTACTTTCAATGATCACATCAATTCCATTGCAATAATCATCAGATCATCAACCCCTTTCAGTCCTTACATATTGAACTTAGCTTTGTCATTTGTCATATCACTTCAAAACACATAAATATTATATTGTATTCTAAGTGAGTTTTTTGTTTACTTTTAGATCCAGTGTCAACTACTAGAGCTGCAGGAGCTGGATTGTAAGTTGAAATTATGTCAATATTTATATGGCGAAGCCCCCAGATATATAGCTTTTGTTATATTTATTGGATTATTATTTTTATAAAATGAAATTCTGGTGCGATAATGAATGCTCTGACAGTGTAGCAATAAAGTCTTTTCTCAGTTATGATTGTAGAAATTCAGTTTTGTTATTTTTTAGACACTGTCCATTTTTATTTCTCATTGAGTTTGCCATTTATTTCTTATTCAGCTATTGTATTGTTTTCTTTTCAGTATTTCCCAATCTCATTTTGGTGATACCTCTACAATATCTCACCAGATGGCGACACCAGAGCGCATGAGGAGCGAGAGTGAAAGCAGCCACGTAACTGATAGTGATCGGTTACAGCAAGAAAATGTTATTGAATACACAAACTCAGTAAGCGCCACCTTTATTCTTATCACAGAAACATTTACATGAGTATCATGGATACCTAAGTGTTTCATAAAAAATATCTTGCATACGCAACACTTAAGATATAAACATATGAGTTAAATGATCCAGTTATTCCAGAAAATTGCGAAATTGGTTTTGTAGTCAGAATATGAAACTGTAAAAATTGTAAATTGGAATGCATCAATTTAACAAAAGACTATTTATCTGTTTTCAGCTAACTTTAAATTTTACCAATACAGAAATAAAAAATATAGCTGAGACGCTTGGGAGCTATTTGAAACAAGGCGCTCGAATGCCTGTTCAGATGTTCTGTGAAACCATGATGTCCATATTTGGTGAATCCAGAAAAAAACTTTTAGCAGGTTTGTTTTATGTCAATTAAGTTGTTACTCCTTTGCTAGCGGGACATTTTGTGATGGTAAAAGCGAATAAAGGGACAAATAAAACATGATTCTATGCATAACCATACAATTTAAAAGTTGCATAATCAATATAGACTAACGATTTTGATTTGGAAAGTGAATATACTTTTGCCATTGGCAGTTCATGGTTGTCACTAAAAAATATTTATTCCAACTTGTGCCAACTTTCAGATCTGGAACCATTTGTGCCAGCTGCTGATGAAATGCAGTTCAAAGCTTTTTTAGACAGACATGGCTTGGGAGGCCATAGAACAGTGTCCTCTAGTTCCTCGAGGCACTTCAGGTTAGCTCGTTTAACTCTTCTTTCATTAGCTCAACAACATTTATTGCTACTTCATTCTTGGCAAGGATATGAAACAGAACTTTCTGTAAATCATTTGTGTTGGAGTGGAAAATGCTGAAATATAGTAAAATTACCACAATATTTTTTTTATTAATTTGTACAATATTTTTCAGAAATAATCTCAAAAATAGATTTTTCTAGCTTCATTGGTGAGTGAAACCATAATATTCATTGAAATCTGTCATAGGAATCAGTGGTCTTCAATTGCCTTCATGCTATTGCACAAACTACACTCTCCAAACACAATATCTAGACATATGCTATAATTTAGTTTCTGTTTACTTGCTGGGATTTTTCATTCAAGCTTACTTCCTTGTTTATTTCATAGAAAAGGATGAGGGAATTACTAAGAACAGTGCTGCCATCTTTTACGCATTACTATATGCTATTAGAAGTTTGAATGAAAATGAGTAAATGGGCAATACTATAAAGAATAACTATTGATAAATACAGTAAGACCTGTATATCCGAACACCTGTCTTATCCGAACACCTCCCAATCTGAACACAGTTTTGGTCCCTTTTTTCTTCCCATTAACTCTCATGTTCAAAAAACTCAATGTGAACACTTCCCAATATGAACTGTGAACAGTAATAAAATCTGTCTAATGGAACACTTTTCACAAACATATCACATGTTTCATACAAAATCCAGATTCTCACAAATGCAAAAAACTTGATATGTGAACACCTCCTTATCTGAATGCTTTTAGTATGCCCCAATTAGAAAGCTTTTACTGTACCAATAAAGGTTTTGCATAGCATTACTATTTTATTAATCTAAAAGGACATGTGAGGAAATAAAATTAAAATATGCCAGAAATAGTTTTTTATTCTGAAATGATTTTGCTAAAAATGTTTTTGTCGTTTGAATTACACTTGTTAACGACAGCTAAATCTGATCAAATTTCATAAAACTGTTGTGTCAAAATGAGACTTTTAACTGGTGATATTATCAGTTTTAACTTTCATTGTTAATCAAATTAAAAACTTTATGCTGTAAAATTTATAATGTAAAGAGACAAAATCTGAAAAACTTTGAAAATACCTCAATATTTAAGAGTTAAAGAACAGCACAACCCTTATCCACATACAAGTACTTGAGCTTGAAACCATTCAAAGTCAATGCCGTTCACTAGAAGGTCAGCCTCTTCAAACACATTTTTTATGCTTAATGTTTACTTTGGCATTGTTTATTCTGACTTAAGTATGAATGATTCAAATTTTATAGCAGCTTGTTTTACTAACTTTTTATTTACATTTGCTCAATAGTCGTGTTTACTGTGAGACCTCAAAAGGATGATATCACCTCAATTTTAAGTGTAGATCGGTATTAATGTTAATTTTAATACTGAATAATATTCTTGATAAGATCCTCTTAAAATATCTTCACTGCATTTTAACATATAAGGTTAAATGTTTGAAAACTTTCTGTAGACTCTCCAAATGACAGTTTAGAAATTTGATTGCATGTTTTTGTTGTTGACATAATGATGATTGTTATATGAATGTCTAATGATAACAAAAGAAAAACTATAAATATCTCCTTTGTCTTTTCAGGCGTACATTAAGCAATACATCAAACTTCAGTGACATTGTCCAAATGGACGAGTTTGATAGGACTTTACATGATATATCTGCCAAAATTGAAAAACTCGAAATGAGCGTGGAAAAAGGAAAACCACACAGACTAAGAAAATCCTGATACAGGAAAAACATTAATTCAATGTGTTTGGCTTGAATTGAATTTACACAATGTTCCTGTGTGTTGAGTAATTGTGATTTACACTGTCGATTACATATGTGCATCACTAGTGACATCTTTCTGTGGATTGGGTGACTTGCAGTTTGCACAGTGTTGGAGAAAGAGAGAGAGTGGCAAATGCTTTACTTGTTCTTGATCTATCATAACTGTCTTTCATGTTTATCAGACACGGACATAGAGTTCATCTGTGTCATTAATGCAGTTCAACTTACGGGCAGTGAACGCAGGCACCAGAAATGGATTTGCAGAGTTTACGCTGTTTTTCACTAAAGAATACTGGGAAACATCAATCACCTTAAGTGGAATTGTAAATACTAAATACCCAATTCTTATGCTGATGATTAGGGAATAGCTGGGCAGAATAACAGACAAATTCTTGTCAGAATAATGGACCAGTTATAACATAAAACAATCAATTGAGATGGAGTCTTAACATAGTACAGTAAATCTTACCAAAAAATGTTGATGTCCAGTGTTGACTTCCACCTACCAGACAAGATGTGTTCAGTTGATCAAAGGCAAAACCATGTATATTTTCATTGGTTAACACTGAACTATAAAGCTATTACTATGACAACACCTGCCGAAATCAGTATTGCTGTCTATACCTATCCCTCAATTCTCCCCCAAAAATACACTTTGCTCTTCAGTGAGCATTTACATTTTAACACATATTAAAACCTAAATATCCAAAGGCCAAATTATGTTTGTGTTAGTAACATTTGTAATCATTGAAGTGTGCAGTAAAACTGTAGATAGAGTATGTAGATATGTACAGTATAGAATCTGTAGGCGTACTCCGTCACACATCAACTCAGCCTCATTTTATGCTTACTGTAATCACAAACACCAATTAATTATGCTTACAGTAAAACCTGCAATCATGAACACCAATCTATTTTATATGTACAGTGAGACCCACATTCATGAACACCTGAATTATGTTTGAATAATGTATTCTTTGCACCATTTATGGTTGCAATTTCTCATTAGTCAATATAGGTACTTATTCATTACATTATACTGTACATGTATATTGTACAAGGGGTTCACTCATGTGTATGTCATATCATTGAGTGATGAATTGAGAAAATACTTTTAACATAGTAGGAACTGCAGGACAGGTGTAATCTGGGTCATAATTCTCTATGTGGTGTGTATATTTATGTATGTATGAGTGTATGTACTAGGGGTCCCATAATTACTTGATATTACTGATAGTAAATTTTGTATCAAGGAACCCCTAGTATATGCTATAAATGAGCTTATTGAATTCACTTGTATAAAGGAAATGAAATCCCATCAAGTGTAAAAACAAATATACAATCATACATATATATTTGATCAGTGTGTAATAAAGCTATGTTGTACTGTAGATGCAGTATGTTGTAAACTGTCGTGCTCAACTGGAATTATTGTTTTGTAAGATTTTTCCTCTAGATACCTCAAAATGAAATAGGTGAAATTAGGTTGGAAATTGTCTAAGAAGGAAATTAATTTTATACCGCATATAAACTGTATCCATTCATTCCTGTACCCAGGATGGGGTGGGGGTGGTATTACCAACCCTCACTCACGTCCCAAGGAATCCCCCACATCTTACATACACTACTTGAAGTTTAATTTCATCTTTTTCATGATCAGATACGAGTACATTATATTTTACCAAGTGAAAGAACTTGACATGTTCATCTACTTATTTATCATTATTTAAGTTATCAGAAAGCCATTTGTAAATTATAGTTATGGCATTTAATTTTTGTTCTGTAGCATGCAATCTGACTGAGAACTCCTCACTCAGGTAAATTGTTATATATAAGTATAAATAAGATATGATTGCTTTGTACAACAGCTTGGTTAATAACCAAAGCAACATGTCTAAATGTGAACAGATTTTGTGCTTCAACAGTTCTTGAAGTGGTGACATTTTGTTGAGACTGCAGCCACTTTTTTGTCAGTGGTGCACAAAAGCATGATATTTAAAGGAATATTGTCACAAATGCGATAAAGTCAGAACTGGGTTTCACTCATGGTTATCATGCTTTTCCAAAAATTTAGAAGCAATGAGTTTAGGAGCAAGAATGATATCATTTGTCAGTAAAACTTCTTATTAAACACTGTTGAAGCTGAACACATTTAAAATGTTAATGAACATGCACAGACCATGTTAAAGCTGAACACAGTAGTTAAAGAAAAGAATCAATCAAAAATTGAATTCACAAGTATGAAAAATTACACCAGTGATAACCATTATCACCTACGTAATTTGTCATGATAATGCTTCATAGGTTTGTTAGACTCAGTGTACATTATTCAAATGATTCTCTGCATACTGGGTGGCCTTAAAGTATTTTTACAGTAACAGATTATAGATTGTTGGATAACTGTAAACCTACTCTTGGCCCATCCTGTATATTAGGGAGGTTGATATCACAGACTGGAATATATTGGCAAACAGAGAGGTCTTTGAAGACATTTGTAAATATTATGTTAAATGCTGTGTGCACAAGTATATGACCATGTTATGCATTTATTTGTATGTGCCATCATCATTTGTTAGAAAAGATGTTATTGTTTACCTTCAGATTTAATTCTAGGTGCATAGCATGTTGATATACCACAAATTGTCAATAGTACCTGTATAATTTGGCATTAGTGCCACACATGTCAATAGTACTACAATGTAAATAGTGACTCGTGTTGAAGTATGATAATACTGTTATCACTGCAGTCCCACAGCTTGTCAATGGTACTACAATTTGTGCCACTGTGTCAATAGTACCACAATATGATAATACTGTCATTGGTGCAGTACCACAAATTGTCAATGGTTCTACAATTTGTGCCACTGTGTCAATAGTACCACAATATGATAATACTGTCATTGGTGCAGTACCACAAATTGTCAATGGTTCTACAATTTGTGCCACTTTGTCAATAGTACCACAATATGATAATACTGTCATTGGTGCAGTACCACAACTTGTCAATGCTACTAGTACTACAATTTGTGCCACTTTGTCAATAGTACCACAATATGATAATACTGCCATTGGTGCAGTACCACAACTTGTCAATGGTACTACAATTTGTGCCACTTTGTCAATAGTACCACAGTATGTTGCCACAAATCAAATGAATGCAAACAAAGTAATGAATGTGGTATTAACATTGATGCTGAATTGAATACATGTGAAAGTTCCCTCAATATCATGGGGTGTGTATTTGTAATTTTAGTATAGGGCCACAGCATAATATTTTACAAAGAAATATCAATAATTGTGCACACTTTATTTTTGTAATTTAAAAGCTGCTTAATCTCAGACAAAATAAACTATCCAATACAATGGCTATAACAATCATTCTTCAGCAGGGATTTACATAGAAAATGTTGTGCTTTGGCTCTTTCATAAAATTAAACTTCTCAACCAGTAAATATATTCGTATGAAAACAAAATTGACATCCATATAGTAACTGTTAGGCCCTGACCTTACAAATCAGTTGTCTGTTTAGCCAATGTATAACTTTATAAAAGGACCATGTGAAAAAACTAAATTCATGAAATAAAAAAGCCCAGAAAGAAGGCTTGGGGTTTGCCAGGGATGCCCGCTAAACAGATATTTAATTGGTAAGGGTACAGTCACAGTTGTGCAGTGTAAACAATAGACAGAATACTGTAGGTATTTTCTTGGTCTTATATTTGAGCTGAATGTTGTTGAATTTGTTGTGGATGTTTTCTGGGCTGCTTTTGCCCAGTAGTGGGCCCATCAGCATTATGCTTGAATGGAATAAATTGGTTTCTATTTAATAAAGTGTGTTTAGTTAATTCATTCGGTAAGCTTATCAATGACAGTGCAAGTGAAGAGCCCCTACTATTCCTTGAAGAGAACTCATTCTCAAATATATAAGCACAAGTGCCAAAGGGAAAGGACTAAAAGTTGTAATGGAACTTAGCAAGAAAAAGCAAACTCTAAGTGCATACCAGTCAAGAAAAACAAACCCCATATAGCCCAAAACCATGATCTAACATGAAAAGAAACAATGTCTAATACCCCCTTTCCCCCACCATTCAAGAACCAATATCACAAGCCAAGACCAGAAGACCAAGGAACATTTCATTCATACTGAAGTCATTACAATACGAGGGGTGATCAATAAGCAATGGACGGTTTTTACATGGACGCTTTTTATGGACCAATCTCATTGATTTTTTCACCAGTGATACATCATTTGATTATCTATCAACTCTGAAGATTTGAAGACAAAATATGTATTGCATGTTGATATATCTTTATTTCCGTGAAGGGGGTACAGGTACCCAGGGACCGACATTTACGTCACATATTCTGAAGTAATGCCAATTTGGCATATCAGTTAGATTTGAACTTTTTGATATGCCACAAGAGTTGTGTTGTTTGAATATCATGCTGCCTGTGGTAACACATAAAAGATAAGTATTGTAAGGTTAAAGTGTTGTATGGTCAGGGTTTGCAGTTTGATTTCAGAATGCAATGTGGAAGAAGAGGTTAGTGAGAGGAGGTAACACCCTACTCCATGTGGACATTGCCCCTGCCCAAATATCTCAAAATGTCCAGGATACAATATACCTGGACCTGAACATGAAGCCCTTGGCGCATGCACCCTTTAGCCCAGATCTGGCCACACATGACTTTTATTTCTATACTACTTTTTCTATATAAAAATGATGCAGGTTAAATGACATTGATGAAATAAAACAAGCTGTGCAACTGCAGTTTGCTACCCGGGGTACCCATACATCCTTCACAGGAATAAAGATATATCAAAATATGTTTCATGTTTTGTCTCCAAATCTTCAGAGTTGATAGAGAATTGCATGATGTATCACTGGTGAAAAAATGAGAGATTGGTCTATAAAAAGCATCTATGTAAAAAAGTGTCAATTACTTATTGATCACCCCTCGTACATGTTGAAGAAAAAAAATAGAAATTGATAGCCAATTCTCATAACTTCAAAAATCAAATCAGTCAAAAAAAATCAGTCAAACAAGTTTTAAACAAAGAGAGACTCCGGTAAATCAGAATGCTTAACAGGACTTGGTGTCTAAACCCTGGATACTCTCAAAAATCAGTATGTCTTCAATTTGAACCATCAATATGATTTATTGTTTTACATTATGATAACTTTTTTGTGGATGGTGTTTGGCAGTTGGTGTTTGTCATTTGGTGTTCAGCATCTGTACATCTGTCTAGCAGATGGTGGCATTTTACATGTCAATGCCTTGTTTCTCTAAATTGTAATAATAACACCAGTTATTATAAATGTTGGATTAATAAGTTACACCCGGTAGAATTACAAATATGTTTATGAATTTTGATAACTATACTGCTTCGTACAGCTGTTCCTAATTGCTTCAAACGTCAACAGCCAACCAAGTACAACATGAATATCACACCCATCGAATGGTATACTCGAAATAAGTAACTCATACCTCTTATTCCCATTATTGGGGAAATCGTCAGATGGCTCATCTTTCCCGCCCGCCAGTTTTCTTACTCCGGAGCGTTTCTTTGTTTAGTTTCAGTAATGAAATGCTCCGTCATGCATGTAAGAGCGTTTGGGTTGGACACCGTGTCAATACCATTTTGACGCGCACAGTATTTGTCCATAAACCAGGTTTTCCGAAATGGCTGGGATTGGGCGGTGTTTACATTTCAAGGCTTATCCTATAACAATATGTCTTAACATTTGGTAGTGACATAAAAACTTCAGAGTCAAGACATTGTGAGCTTATATTCCAAGGAAAGTTTTCTTACTACAATACTTTGAGGAATTGTATAATTAATAAATCATGGAATAGACTAACATTGTTATATAATTGAAAAGGTATTAACATGACAAAATGTCACCACCCGTTATTGGAAGTTGCATGAATTTGAAACAGATGCCGAATCCGAAACACAGTGTCCACAAAAAGTTGGGAGACTATAGCAATATATCCCCACTTCTGGTGGAGACATAAAAATCAAAGACATAATTCAAATTAATGGATTTAATTGTTCATATTTACAAAACATATTTTTCTAAGCAAAATTTGCAAAACTATACATTCTAGTGATTCTACTGTATGAGAATAAACATTGAAAGATAGATAACCAAGTTATTATATACATCCTGCTTTTGTACAATGTGATATCTCACTACAATTTATTTACACTTTGTACAGTCACTTACTTATTCTGTTGAGGAAGCTAAACCTATGTACCAGGTTGATCAATATGTTCTTAGAAAAAGGCTTCCAGTCTAAAATGATCACTGTTGAACAGTTTTGAGATTAGTTGTTTCAAGTTTTCAGAAGATATGAAATAAAGACTGGATATACAGGGTGTCAAATAAGTCCCGTCCCCCCCTGTACAGCCAAAACCAAGATATTTGGTACCAAGTGTGATATACCATTGGAAAGATCTTCCAAAGTTACGTTGATTGGCATATATCTGACACATGTCAATCAACCTCACAAAATTTTACATTGTATCAATCGAGGTGACCATAGGCCTAGAAACATGACAATTTGTCGATTTGGCAGGATTTTAAGAATCGGGTATAAGAAAGGTCAAGGGACCAAAAGATGACTAAATATGTTTATGGCAATGAATTTAACCAATTTCTGGATAGGGTTACATGTGTAGAAAAAAGAGGTGCAAGGAAATTGGTGAAAAACTTTCTGTAACAAGTGGAATGCGAAAAAGATTAATTTTTGACGTATTTCCGAGGTCATATCCTTGTCATTTTGACACAAAAAAGCTACTTAAAGGAGGGCACGTTAACTGTAAAAGACATCATAAAAATATAGGTAAATTTCATCCAAAATACTTAAGATTTGTTGAGTTAACATAACTTTGGATGATCTTTCCAATGATATATCACACTAGGTACCGTCTGTTAAGGTTTTAGCTGTAGCAGGGGGGACGGGACTTATTTGACACCCTGTATATTATAATAATCTATGCCATTATTTTTTATCTCTTGTGAAAATTCTTAAGCTCTTTATTCAAGAAGCTTTTTTCAGAACGTATTGATCCACCTGATATATGAACTGAGGTACACTTGATAACAGTATCATACACTTTGCACAACTGCTTCAAAAACATTCTGTAAAGCCCGACATATACGGGAGGCCTGATCTACATTATGGCACTGGAAGACGTAACAGTCAGCCTTGAGGCTCTCTATTTGGCGAACAATTTTTAAAGCCAGATTAGTCCTGCCTGAAGTGTCTATGTATTCTATCAGCTGTGCTACTGTATGTAGTGGATGCCTTTGAAGAACCTCCTAGAATGGATATAAAAGAGTGTTTATCATTTTACTGAATAAAATACATGTCATTGAAATAATATCATTTTCTGGGATTTATGTTTTACTTACCGGATTTTCTCGCATATACGCCCCCCTAAATTTAGGCCCATGGGCCAAAAATCGAATGTAGTACGCTTATACGCCCATGGGCCTATAAAAAATGACTATTTATTGATTTTTTCAATAAATTCGAGAGCATTTTGTCACTGGCAGATCGTTCTGTCGTCACTTTGTTTCAACATTAAGTTCAACGCTGTGCCGTAAGTGGCAGTGGTGGATCGTTCTGTTGTTACTTTGTTTCAACATTAAGTCCAAGGTTGTAAGTGACATTTCCTTTATAATTCTTACAAAACATGCGGTAGGACTACAACAGTAGGTACGGTAGTCTTTGAGGAAGATGGGTGATTCTCACCTTTACGCCCACTGGGCCAAAAATCGAAAGTAGTACACTTATACGCCCATGGGCGAAAAATAAGAGGTAAAATAACAGACGAAATTATCCCTTCTTTCAGTTATACGCCCAGGGCTTATATGCGAGAAAATCCGGTAAGTGGCCTTAATTTTTTAAAAATAAAAATTGCTGTAGCAGAAAACCATATTTTCACTCATAAACACTCAACAATAATCACATAATTGAAATGTTAGTAGTATGCATATCATAAGACGTTAATAAAATAAAACAAAGCAACCTACCTCCCTGGTGGTTTTCATGACTTTGACACCATGTTTAGATATGACCATCTTTACCAAGTCATCTTCAGCAGGTTTGATGTGGATCTTATTCTCAATCTACAATAAAAAAGACATACAGTAGATGTTTATTTAGAAAAATTATTCTTGATGAGCTGAAAACTTATACAGTAAAACCTGCGAACAGGGAATGCTCTTGGGACTGAAGGAAAGTTTCCTTGTTCAGAGGTTTTCCCTACAGAGAGGGGCCGCACTTTCAGCAAACTCAAAGTTGCCGAATAAGCATATTTGTATATATATTGATTGATTGTACAAATGCCGGCTTCATACTTGGTTACATTCTCCCCATGTTGATTTTTGCTGCTGCTAGCGTCTGATGGTGTCTAGTTGATGTAATTATTGATATGATATGTAGAGATTTATTGCTAAGAACTGAATTTCAAGTTTCATCAACCAAATTTTATATCATTGATAATCTAGTAGTTGGATCAGTAAAAGATTTAAAGAGATTTGGCTCAACATGACCATGTACTTACTATCTGTTATCTCCATAAAACAATTGTGTCAGTCCCTAGATTATCACAACTGATTTGATGCAATTAGGTTTTTGAAAGTAAGAATTAGTGTCATGATAATAAGTAACAAACAGATTAGTATTAGTTTTAAAATAAATCAGGGTAATTAACAGTGGGTGGGATGCTACATCATGTAAACAATTGCTCATCTTAATCTCAATCATATTAATCCAAGCTTTTTATGTTCAGATATTGGCTTAAGACTTTCACACCTCTGAAAAATAATGGAATATACAGTGTCACCAATATTCCATATTCCTTGTTCACAGGTGAATTTTCATAGTTTGCCCCAAAATAGTGTTCCTTGTTCCCTGTTCATAGGTTTTCCCTACAGAGAGGGTCCGTTAACATGTAAGTCAATGGAAAAATATTCGGTTCTTTTGAAAAGCATTCCTTGTTCATAGGTTTTCCCTACAGAGAGGTATTCCATCGGACAGGTTTTACTGTATCTGAGATTATGGATGATAAACAACTAGATAACGGCAACTCCGCGGAGCAGCAAATCCCAACGAACAAAATATTTATTACCGAATTCCAATCAATTATACTCATTACTTTGGTTAAAATTGAAAAAAATAGATTTTAGAATTGCGAATTCCTGCAAAGCAGCCATTTAGAATTTTCTGAGATACAAATCTGAAAATAATACCATAATTGTGATCTACTCCAAAATTCCTTCAATTTGAGTATAATATAGCCATACTTTGAAGGGATCAAAAAATTATTGCGAAATCGTACATTAGATGGCCATTTTGAATTTTACGAGGCTCGAATCAGAAAAAAAGATACAATATCTGCAATCTACTCTTAATTGCCTTTCATTTGAGTATAATAAAGCTCAGAAAGATCTAAAAATTAGCGAAAATTTCTGTTTTCCTGTCCCCCCATACACGGCCCCTGGGGGTCAGGATGAAAAACACGGAATATATGTGAAATAGATAAATGTTGTGAATATACTACCAAAATTTCAAACAATTATATTAATTACTTTGGTTTAGAATGAAAAATTTATAATTTTTGCGAAAAAGTCCCGTCATTTTTAAAGCTGCGGTCATCTAGAAAAACTTTTTTTTGCGTAAAACTATTTACCAATATACATCTTTCCACTAAATATAAAGAAAATTCGTCAACTAGTATTTGAGTTATCTTCCTGACAGACGGACGGACGGACTGACTGACTGACGGACGGACGGAGGGCTTCACTATATCCCTACCTAACTTCGTTCATTGGGATAATTATTTCTGACAAAGCCAAAGTTAAATCTCAGATGAGTTAGTTAATCCTATTCAGATCACATAAATCAAAGAGTGACATAATTGCTAAAGTTACCAAGAAATAATATGCCTACCTGAGCTTCTTCGATTTTATCAATTATCTGCACCCTGGTGTCCTGTCCCCCTACTGGTTGAGAGTGAAGATCTTGCACCATTCCTAGATAGTGTAGTTGAAACTGAACGCTACGGTTCAGTGAGCCACTAGAGCCTCCATCTATTAAACGCATCTCTGTCCCTGATGCTATATTCTCACGGCTAGAGTGTGGTGTCTGAAAAAGATATTCAATATACAATTAATTCTTCCATACATTTTAGTCATCCAGGTAGATTTTCAGGTGTTCTTAACTTACTTCTTAACAGGTCCATATCGTCAAAATCAGATATAGCTGATGAATATATTTGTGTACTACATGTAGTTCCCATGAACAGCCCAAAAAGTATATAACAATCATATACTGTATACAAGTACCAAAAATATAGTGCTCACATGCTGATGGTGGTCATGATAAGTGGCCCTATGTAATGTCAATGTATATTCTGACTTCAATAACTCTGGCCAATCATCACTTGTTCGTTTTGCTCCAGAATGCATGTTTTTATAGATCAATTTCAATTCTCAGGTCTTATGCTCCAAGTTCCAGCACTTGATTCAAACAATTGGAAAGAGACTTCATTTACAGAAACGTTTGAGCGATACCTTCTGTAGACTTTGTAAAGTGTAAATGCAAGTTATTTTTAATCATATACAAAGACAGGACTATTCGACAGGTTCAAGTAGAAGGAGAGTGGGTTGAAGGAAAACAAATGGAAATAATCCCAAATTTGAATCAAATTTGAATTTACTTTTGGGAAATATAATACGTCTCTGTTCAATAAGTAAATACAATTGAACTACGGCATTGTTGACTTTCCTATGATGAAAATCTTGGAAGATAAACAAACTTGAAAAATATTTAAATTTTGGCTTACCACTTGATTTCCACTGCTTCCTTTGCTTTCTACTGATTCTCTGCTGTCAGAAAATAAGCCTGATTTTGGCCGATTCTTTTTAAACATATTTGACCATTTTGGATAAGAAATATTAGTAAATATCGATCATTTTGTTGACATTTTTAGTAACGCCCTATGTTTGACCTCGTCCACCATCTTGGAATATCCCTGGGATTCCCCCACGTGATCAAAGTACATAAAGTTTACAAACACAAATGAACATAATTTCAATGCCATAAAGAAATGATTTTCCATCGACTCTGGGTTACAACATCCTAATTCTGTCACTAAAGATAATTCATGTCTTCCAAGCACCATTTAAAAAAGGAAAATAGTACTTGGTGTAATAATAACGAAGAAAAATTATTGAAAATGAAGGCGTTCGTTATTTTCATGTATAGTTGTTTTGCAAGGAGACATGGAGATGGAAATTCTCTAAAATATCACTTTTAAACCGCAATATCCACTTATGAGCATAAATAATCATCGTTTTGAATAGGATTTACATTTCTTTGATATATATAGACGGTATAATGGCACAAAGTTCACAGTTTGAGGCCCTAGATGGCTCAGCAGATCAAGAAATAGATGACATAACTTTGGGACGAGAAGGGATAAATATGATGCTGAATAATGGATTTTCTGAAGCTGAAGTTCTGTTTAAAAAGTACAGGTAAGGGTTTGTCATTTTGATTCTAATAAAGACAGTGTTGATCTGTTGACTATAGCTCATGTATACTTATTGTTGAAGTGTTCTGTTACCATTATTATAGCTCATTATTTGACGTCAATAGAAAGAAGGAATATCAAAGGCCCCGTAATAAGTACAGATGTCGGCTCGATTTTTCATACATGTTCCCCTTGGCCTATGAGGAATATGTTTACAAACGACATTGGCTTTCAACTAGTTGAAAGCCCATGCAAACGATTAATAAAATAATATCACATCGAAATAAATTTGTGACAAGCGAGATTTATGAGTTAATCTGCTCAGAGTTCTGAGGTTTACCACTTCTTTGTAACAAGTCTTTGTAACCGTAATCAAGCAACTTATAAAATTGTGATGTCCAAATAAGGACGTTGATACTGAGTATCACGATACATGAAGATGAACATGTAGAGTACAGTAAATGTCAGGATCACATTCTTCAGCTCAATGTCAACATTTTGTTGTGGAAAACCATGGGCTTTCAACTTGAAGCCCATGGGAAAACTGAGCTGTCACGATTTCAGTAAACTCATCTAAAATCTTCCAGAGGGTTCATTTCTCCCAGCTTGCTTCATTGTACATGAAGTTGTTCATGGCAAGGATGTCTATCTATCTCTAACTCTTTAGTGATTAGAGGTAAATAAATATACAATACAATACAATATAGACATCCTTGTTCATGGCTATAATTCCAAGTTTTTTTTATATAGTCTACTATGCTTACATTAACCATGGGCTTTCAATTAGACTCGTGACAATAATGTTTTGTTAACAGAAAGTGATAATTATGCTTTAACTAGCGAAGAACTTGCATGATTCATAATACATATAATGACTCAGCATTCTCTCGAAAAATGTATCCATGTATATCCATACATGTACATATGCCCTATATTATACATACAGAAAATAAATTAATCCAGGAAAAAATAACTCTAGTCAGGACCTATTTTTTACATTAATTGCAATATTAACAAAGACAATTTGATATCATTTGATTCTTTAAAGATTCAAATGTAAAAAGAATTGCAACACTTACACCGTCCAAATGCCTTTCTCAGTTCAATAATCATCAGTTCTAACATTAAACATTTTAAAACTTTGTTCCACAATGCACCTCGCTCTAAACGAAATGTTTTAGTTTATTCCAAGCAGTTTCTATATTTCTGAAGCAGTTTGTATTAAATACAACTTGCATTTCTGCCATCCTCAATTGAATGAGGTTCATGAAAGTCTCAGTAGAGTTGACCAAATGAGGAACAAATACAAATTTTCAAAAATATCTTAGACTAAATGCTTTATCTGACCAATTAAGCAGGTTAGATATACATGTATGGATAATTGTTCTTATTTTTCTCTTGTGTGTTTTAGACCTGGACTTTTCATATATGGTACCTGTGTTGATGAAAAATAACTCAATTATTTTGTTCAATTTCCACACTTTATTTTCACCACTTGTTATTTACTGTTATATAGTATATAGAGATGATTACTAACTCACTGCATGCAATTTTCTAGCAAAGGTTTTGATAGAATGCAATGGCATAGTGAGGCACTTGCCTCATCAGTATTTACTATAGTCCAACAATATTAGACCTAGCCTGGGGCCTTGTTTCTTATCTGACATGTCTTGTGCCCCCCCCCCCCCCCGGCCGGCCCCGATTAAGATCAGATTAATGAATAAGCTGGATTAAGTTTAACTTGTTGAACTATATTTCCTATTTACCTCACCAGTGTTCCACAGAAATTAAGGCCTAGTGATAGTATTCCACCCCATCACATAATGCTTGTTTGTGTTACTTAAAGGGGCAATAAGGACTGTAGAGAGAAAATTCGAAATTTTTTATTTTTTCTGAGCTATCAGGTCAATATTTGGCTTAATACCTTCTTTGACATACCTATTTTCATAAAATGTATGTATAAACTATAAATTTCAGCATTAAGAAGTGTAAATTCAATTCAAAGCTTCTATAAAGGGAGTCCCACTTATAGATTTTTAAGATCCACCATGTTTCAAGAGGAATATCAGCTGAAATAATGTTCATCCAGAGGGTTTCTTTGTAGATAATGAAAATATGTGTTAGTCTTGATGAAATATCCAAACCTAAATATATTTTGACACTTGTCGATGATCGTTGAATGGCCCCCTGCACTATTTGTAGCACCTTTAATTTTCTTTTCTAGTTCACCTTTGGTATGATAAGAGTTTTCAAGTGATATTAATTAATGAAGGAGTATTATTTATAGTAATGAGCCACTTCTCCTGATTGATTTTCTTTCTATTTCTGTTACAAGGCTATTTTCATAGGATATATTTAGAGAGCAGTAGTAGTGTCGCGTAATTAGTTTTATTTACAACTTAGCATTTCTTGAGTTGTTTCAATTCACGCCAGTATCTACATATATGTCACAGTTGTAATAAAATAAGTCATCAACAACAACTACTCATGTTATCTGTGTATATACGCCCTTCTACGGACCGCACTTGGCCACACACTGAATGCATTTATTACCAACCATGCATATACTAAAAAGCATGCTTGCCGTTAACTCCTACAGAGCATTTTTACCCATTTAATACTTGTTTGTGATTTCATGATAATATCCAACATGTTATTTTTGTGTACTTGCAGAGAGTTCAGTCCATTGATGAGCTATGGATACAGCTTTGTGAATTTCATGGTAAGTTTCTTAGAAAAGTGCTAAAATCTTAGATACAGTTTATGCATTTTTATGTTCAACTTCCAAAATGCCTGGTTTTGGCATCCATGTCATATCTATACTATTGAAATAACTGTAGCCAGTGCATTATCATATAGCTGTAATCATATTGCTAAAATAGTGCTATGGGGCTCCATACAATACTCTCTTGGTACCACATGGATTTCATGCTCAAACAATACCATGCGGCGTCATACTTTCAATATACCAAATGGTTCAATTATATATGATAATGTTGTTTTCATATATTACTTATCATTTTAATGCTCAAACTTAACAAATTCATAGGTCCAAGTTGACTAGGGTCCGAGTTAACTAGGGCCCAAGTTGACTAGGGTCCCAGTTAACTTGGGTCAGAGTTAACTAGGGTCCGACTTGACTAGGAACCAATGAAAATATATAAGAATTACATATAATATATCAGTTGAAGAAAATATACCAGGAAGCTAAAATAAAGCTAAAAATGAAGCTAAAACAGTTTGTTCATTTTCAGCAAGCCCTGATGACATTTGAGGACGCCAAGCTAGCTGCAGCAATGCAAGATTTACAAGACACGGAAAAACGTTGTCAGGTCAAAGATGGATTCATGAGTGGTATCGGTAACATGTTTCGAGGGGTAAAATCTGAGGTGAGAATGAATTTATGTAATAATGTCTACATCTATATGCTTCTCCACCTCTTTTGTCAGAGCACATCATTCTTCTTTCGTATGAGTCACCTTTTCCTCAGCACCATGAATGAAATTCCCGGGGATGCAGTTCCACCAATGCACCCCCTCCCCCTGGGTACCCCTTGTGCTGAATATAAGATTTAATTTTGAGTACCAACAATTTAGAAATATTTAACGGATAAAACTGAAGTCCTGTTTAAACAATGTTTAGTCCCAATGTTTATCTCCTTCATTGGACATGGTGCAATATGTTATATTTATAAAAATGGATTTATAGTTAATCCAAATTGTTCATATTCTCTAGAAACCCAAGCTGAGTGCTGAAGAGAAGCTTCAAAGGCAAATCATCATTGCTGATTGTATGATCTGCCAGGCCATGCTTACGTTCATCAACCAGGATATCACTAGTTATGTTAAAGGTCAGTGAATTCTAAAGTTTAATTAATCCTTTGAATATTTTCCCCGAAAATGAAATATGCTTATGGAAACAGTAGTAGTAATAGATTTGATATGTATTCTCATTAAACCAAACCATTTGATATATGTGGGGATTTCTCAATTTGGGATGATATAGACCTTCCTTTGGTTCATCACTGAGGTTAATTTCATGAATTTTCACATATTGATCATTGTTCTCATTTACTTAAGGTGGATGGATATTACGTAAAGCTTGGAAAATCTATGAGAAAATCCATAAGGAGATTACTCATTTACATAACACAGCTAAAGGTATCATAGAGAGCCAGTCCTCCGAGAACCTGAAAGCTCAAGGCTCAAGTGTCGATGGCAACGGTGTTGAAGAAGCTCTAGAAATACTCAATGAATCAGACATTCCAGAAAACAACATAAATGGATCTAATAACACAGAGAAACGAACTCTGAAAGATCTCCGTAGTGATAGTGTCCAAAGTAACCTACTTAGCTTAGACTTTGATGGCTCTACAGTTGAATTCTCTGAAGAGACTTTAGAGAGGTTACTTGGCTCTGTGAACTTTGGCTATGGCAACTTCCAGCTATGTATATCTATGGTGCCACCCAAGATATTGAAGTTGATTGAGTTTCTTGGTTTTGAGGGTGACAGGGATGTTGGATTGAAAGCTCTGGACCATTGTAGTCACAGTAAAGATATGAAAGCACCTCTAGCCAGGTAATTAGACAAAAAGGATGCAGATATTTTCTACCTTCTACCTTCATTAAAGCCCATTGTGTCTTTTCTCATATGAACTTAGATACATAATTACAACAACAGTTACCACAAAATGCATAAAAGATTAAAATTTATGAATCTCAGAAATTAAAAGGATATTTCTTACTTATTTACAGTAGGGGATATTTATGTTCCTGTCATATATAATGATAAATAGAAGTGTTCCCTGAATAAGACATAGGTTTCTGTAGAACATGTAGTTTCATGTAACATTTGTATTGAGTTTTCTCAATTTGCAGACTAGGCCTACTCTGGTACCACACTGTGATTCGACAGTTCTTTGCTTTAGATGGGGCAGACACTAATGCAGGTGAGAAAGTATAGAGGAAAAATGGAACCCAATTTGTAGTCTACAATTTATTGTAAAATCTTTAATCATGATAAATCTTTACTTTATTTTACAACTCCATTAATACTGCTCACCAGTGAATCAATATTTCATTGGTAAGTGGCTACCCCTAGATTATCTCAACTTCATGTCAACTCACCCCAGGTCATCTCAACCTTTCAACCTTTATTCAAATCAACCCCTGAATGATTTTTTAAATATTAAGTAACTTTTTATTATTACTTTTAATATTTTAACAGAAATGAACTTAAAGAAAGTATTGAATTATTATTCAGGTATACCAGAGGCTGAGATTATTCTTGAGGAGGTCGAGAAGGAATATCCTGATTCTGCACTGTTTCTCTTCTACAAGGGGAGGTTACAACGATTAAAGGTATTGCATATGTAAAGTACAATAAAACCTGTCTTAGTGAACACCTATCTCTTGGGGACACCCTTCCTCCGCAAATACTCTACTGGCTTCTGTATGAATTGCACTGTAGTGAACATCTACCAGCACAGTTTTTATTGGCAAAAAATGTTCAATATACACAGGTTTTACTGTATTCACAATTTGCTTTTTGTTGGTTTTCTGTTAGAATTTGAAAACTTGAAGAACCTGTACTGAAATCATAAAAATCACTTTTTATGTAATAGTTGAATAACAAAAATAAAAAAGGAAATGTTGTGTGGGAGATAAAAATATAAAATTTTGTACAATTTTTTTTAGTGCCCACCTAAGGATAAATGTCATAAACCTATTATATAGATAGCAACACACCTCTTATATGTTTCCTCAATACAGCCTAGTTATAAAATTCTAAATTGTTTCAGTGTGAGTTGAATGCTGCCATGGTAACCTATGAGGAGGCACTACAGAAAGCTGAGAAGCAGCGAGAAATCCAAATAATATGTCTGTATGAGATAGGTTGGGGAAGTGTCATGAGGCTCAAATGGCAGGAGGGCTTGAAGTGTTTTCTGAGGTAAAGTATATGATATTTTATAAATAAAGCACTGTTAGCTAGAACAACTTAATAAAAGATATAATGATGTGATGCACATTGTTAAAGATAGTGTAAAAAAAGTCTGTATAAAGGTAGGTGGCAGCACTTCCCTATTGAATATTTTTGCAAGAAATTCAAAGTTCCTTAGTGTATCCCTATGAGAGCTATTGCTATTTTGATAAAAAAGTTGTTACATTCTTAGACTCATCCATATGCCAAAAAAACAGAATGTGAAGTTAGAACCACAGGTGAAGTTAGAACACAGGACAGTATGTAATCAATCTTATCATTTATTATTGCAGCATGCACAAATATGATATGTTACAAGTCTTTATGTCACTTTTAGATCACAAATGTATCTTGAAGATCCTCATATTTTGATACTGTATCTCACTTTTCAGGTTGAGGGAAGAATCTCGCTGGTCTAAAGCATATTATGCCTATCTGTCAGGAAGTAAGTAGACCTTGTATCTTGTGTATGATATCGATGGAGGGGGGGGGGCAGTCGTCGGGTCGACTTTCCTCGGCCAGTCCAAATTGGTTCAGGCCATGTAATGGGTAGGTCAGGCTGTAATGTACCATGTTATTAATTGACCATGAATAATCAATTAGCTGAAAACAGAGGTCGCAGTATTGTATTTTACTATAGGCAATGTTCACAACCTATCTAAGATCTATTATATGATTATACATTCACTGCTAATACACAGCCCGTGAAGTCATTACCCGCTGTTGCCTGCTGAAGGGCTGTCCCACCCACCCCTAGTGATATTCTTGTTGGTCTTATCTCACTCAGGATATAATAGATTGGAGTTAGACCAAAATGGTTGATAAATAAATTGATTCCAAATATTTCACCATGATAAATGCTAATAAAGTTCTGGAATATTTTGGATTCAGATTTTTAGCATTCCTGAAACTGAAGGTTTATTACCATGGAATGAACAAACTTTTGCTGTAGACTGGTGTTAGCTGGCTTAAATCATTTATTTTCACAAATGTGCATAAATTTTAAACATATAGGGAAGATCAGATTTGAAGCATAGTAAAATCTGATGGTAAAGTGAAGAATTAATGAAACTATGTGAGGTTTGGAGATGCGATCTGTTTTAAATGAGCCATACTACATGTACATCAATAAATGCAATGAACCCTTTGGCACCTCATTTTATTCAATTGTTAACAAATCACTTTAAGCTGTATGCTCCAAACTAAAAACATTCTGCCAGTCACACTCTAAGGCATCATCTATGAACCAATGTTTGTACTTCTTAGCTCTGGCAACTTTCTCATCCTTTCCTACAACCCAGTTGTTGTTAACCACTAGAGGTGTCTTTGATTCCAACCTCTCCAGTGTATTCTGAAGGTACCACTTTCCATCGGCTACCATGTCACTGTCCAGTAAGAAACCTTTGAACTGTTTGCGATATTTTTGTATTGATAGCTTAAGGTATGTTTGGTCATTATCGTAAAAGTTGATTTTAGTATCATCTGAGTTGACACCGATCATACGTATTAATTGATCCATTTGAGTTTTCACGTCATGCCATATTTGTTTCATGGTGTTGGTCGGGTTTACAACCAGAAACCCTCCATTGTATTGGTCAGTTTTATTCATGCGTCCTCCAATCAGATCATATTGACCTGCTTCCGTGATTTTCTCTAACATTGGTATAGGATTTCTCAACCAAACTGCATCTACTTCAAATAATAAAAATTTGATATCATTCTCCAACAAAGTCATTAGAATGTTTGTTCTCTGCTGCATGTACTTAAGGTAGTTTACTCTCCCATATCTCAAGTCATTCTCAACATTAGGCAAATAGAGGAATATGATCTTAACATTTGGCCACTTTGCACTTAGCTCAACTTGTGTTTGTTCATCAGTAGTCATAATGATGATATGACTATGTACATTCATGTTGACTGTGTTACACAACCAGCTCATAGTCATATTGATATAGGCATGGTTCACCATTGTGATTGCAACCAAGCCTTGTGTGTCACTGATCTCCTTTGCAACTAATGTTAACTCCTTGTGGACTTTGTCCACCTCCTTTGTTTGGGCTTTAGAAGGAACCTTTCTCTCCTGGTTTGTTTCAGTCAAGTTCAGTGTTGCACTGACATTTTTAATATCAAAAATTTTGTCTTCCTTTTTTGTAATTGAAACATGTTGGTCACTATCATCTTTAGTTTCAGTATGTGTGTCTCTAGTTTGACTATCTGTGTCTTTCCCTTGGTTTTGTGTGACTTTAACTTGACTTGTGAGTCTTTTAGTTTCTGTTGAATTCACAGTCACCTTTTCATCCTTGATTCGCACATCATCAGTGAATCCTAAAGTAATTTTCTTTGTGGTTGCAACCTTGTTGAAATTGTATCCATTATTTATGTTTGAGACACCATCAGGCTGTAGGTGTCTCACATAGTCTCCAGGTATGGTGACATAGACAAGAGTGTTCCGCCAATCAAGAAATAAGAACACAAGAAGGAGCAAAGTCAGCGACAAGATGTATATCCGAGGAAATGAAAGTGATTTCACTATTACAAACCTTCTCCTCATATTGATTGAAATAAGTGAACTTAGTTTCCTTTTTAAGTTTTTTCAGCACACTAGACTCTTGTATGTAAAATCAATGATATCCTCTCATTCCTTCAGAATATGTAGTGAATACTAACAAGAAACTGTTTTTTCACTGAACACATTGTACATTACGTGAATACCATCAACTCTTTTAATATCATCCTCATCATCAGTTTACATGTTAACATAAATCCTTCTTAGAATATAACACACCTTTCTATTATGTATTTCACTCAATTATTTTCCTGTTCACTGAACATGCCTTTACTCATTGCATACCTCTCTAATATTAAATAGAAGTTTGCATGTTTTCCCATATTAGTAAATGTGCATGAGTAAATGTCATTTTCTTCTACCAGTTTGTGTTAATCAAGTTATATACTTATGTGTAATGTTGTGTGTTTTCAAAGGAACAATGCAAATAACAATAAAACAAAGTATAAGTAGCTGACACTCTTAATGCCCCGGGAGACTTAACAATCGGATCATGATAAATGAGCAGACAGTTGCTTTAATAGTATATTTTAACAACTGCACATTAAAGAGCCAATACATGTGTTTTTAATTCTCTCTTAGATAACCCTACACAATCAACTTGGATATTTCAAAAATTGAAAAAGAAAAGGTGATTCTTTTTAGTTTGGACTTTGTCATAATGAGTTTTTTCAAAAAAGGTCATACCACATTAAGTTTATTGATGAATATTTTTGTGTTATTAATTTTCAGAATTGCAGCTGTAATGTCCCTCTAGGATACATGTACATTCTCTACTGAAATATGAGGCCGGGAAGATATATTACATATACATTTCTTTGTTGAACACCTGAGAATTTAAAAGAAAATATACTGTATGTGTTGTATATATCTGCAGGCTGTCAAGATAAAGTAATGTTATACCAGATTTTTTCTAATAGCCACTCACACTCCCATGAATGCAGACCATTATCAGGGGCGGATCTGGGAACCAACAAGGGGGGGGCCCAAACTTCTGGTCTTAGAAAAAGACTTCCACGCTTGCGCGGAAAAAAATTTTGGGCCCCAAAAACCCAAAAGTGGGCCCAAATTTTGAAATTTTGAGGCCCATTTTCTTCAAAATTTGGCCTAAAATTAAAAAACAAGGCCTTAGAAGGCCAATTTATGACCAAAAAGCCTACTTTTTGGGGCCTTAAGGCCTTTTTTGGCTCAAAATTTTTTTGGGCACAATTTTTTTTTCTGGGCCCACCCAAGGGGGGGGGCCCAGGCCCCTGGGCCCCCCCCCCAGATCCGCCAGTGATTATGGCAACAAAATAAAAGTTTTGAAAAAAATTATCGGGCGATAATAGATTTATGTATTGTTCTATTTGCAGTCTGTCAGGGGGCCCTGGGAGATGTAAAGGGAGCATATGAAACATTTAAGGAAGTTCCTAAACTGATCAAGAGAAAGAACAATCAGATTGAAGCCTTCTGTGCTAAAAGGGTAAGGTCATTGTACTAAACTTTGTGTATTCACAGCTTTCAGAGTTTGCTGTTTTACATTAAAGAAGTTTGTAGAAAAAGAATGCATTATCAGTTCATTTGCTGTAAGGTATGTGAGAGAATCAATTGGAAACATATCAAATCATTTGAACGAAAGTTCAAGTTTGATTTGCTGATTTGCTGAGTCATTATTAGATCTACTTTGGAAAATGCTTTCTTCTCATTTCTTGTATTTTATTATGATGGATTTTATGCTTTGTCATTTTTTGTTTACCTGTCTGTTATTTTAATAAATGATACATTGTATGTTAAACATGGAACTTATACACCCCACAGGTGTCTTTTCATCTCAATATGAAATATTTGAAATGAAGTTTATTGAATTGAAAAACATTTTTTGATCTGTACAATCAATACACAAATTCAATAAATCTATTTTAAGGTTGAGAGATATAAGAAGAAAGCAGCCACCCAGGAACACTGTGTGTTACTTGGCCTAGAAGTTCTCTACCTTTGGAATGTTCTTCCACAATGTAACAAGGAAGATTTAGAAAATATGAAACAAGGTAACTAAAAATACTTTGGAACTAAACAAAATTATCTTCCTTATTTTCATCAAGAATAAAACTCTCAGAAGATAGCGATACTCGCAAACTGTTGATCAGCTGTAAAACAAAACATTAAAATTATTTCCATGACAACATTTATATCGTGAAGTTAGGGTATAGTGTCACCTAAACCAATAAACTGTATAACATCATAATTTGGAATAGACACAAATGAAATCTTTTATGAAATCTTTCATTATTCATAGGGAAATCTTTGTTGAATTTGTAGAATGCGACAAACAGATGGATAAGAATGTGTTCCACTTGAGGAGTCTAATAGAAGCTGCACTTTATAAGGAACAAGGGGAAAATGAAATAGCAATACAGGTAATACATATGAAATAGCAATGCAGGTGGTATACATGAAACACAAATGCAGGTGGTATACATGAGAGAAGCAATGCAGGTAATATACATGAGATAGCAATGCGGGTTATTTACATCAATTCAATTAAATTTCAAAATAATTTATTTCAGTTTTCATTACAAAATTTACAACATTATACGGGCTATGACACCCCAGGGGGTGTATAACTGCCCATAATTAAATTTACAATAAACATGATAAACTGTGAACATTTAAAGTGGTACATAGGTCAATACAATAATATAATATAATATGAATACAATATACAAATACAATAATGTGAGACAATAAAGAAATAAAATAAATGTTTTGGTTATTCTGTACTCAGGAGGTCAATTTTCAAACGAGATATGAGTGAATTTAATGGTTTATTTCTAATATCTTCATTGAGGGAATTCCATATATATGAACCATGGACCTTAATAGAATTTTCACCAATTCTGGTTCTATGTTTAGGAATATCTAAGTTATGACTAAATCGAGTTATACGTTGATGTATGTTTTCTCTAGTTTTAAAATAGTGATCGTATAATTTTGAAGGGAACTTTATAGATTTGCTTATAACTTTTTTCATGAAAGAAACAGTTTGGATTGTGTGAATATGATAAATATTAAGTATTTTAAGATCTTGAAAAATTGGGAATGTGTGAGCTAATCTATCTGAATTTGTTATTAATCTAACAAATTTCTTTTGCAATATCAGTAGTTTATTTAATAGATTCTTACAAGCATTTCCCCATAAAATATTACAGTAATTAAGATGAGAAAAAATCAGAGTGTTATATATTATCATCTTTGATTTTAAAGTATGAGCATAATTTGTTCGATATAACATTCCTATAACATTTGAAACTTTTCTATGAAGAGCATTGATATGAGGAGCCCAAGATAATTTTGAATCAATAATTACTCCCAGGAATCCTATCTCATCTACTTTTTCTAGGTTAGAATTTGCAATTTTTATTTCATTGTTCACAGATATATTTCTTCTATTTCCAAAGACCATATATTTTGTTTTCTTAACATTTAAAGTGAGTTTATTGGCCAACAACCAATCATTGATGTCACACAGTTCAGAATTTACGGTTGTGATCAAATTATCAAGATTGGAATCACTACATAATATATTAGTGTCATCTGCAGAAATCACCAGTTTGAGTTTATCAGAAACTAGATAGAAATCATTTACAAATATGATAAATAGGAGGGGGCCTAGAACAGACAAATATAGACTTAATATACATAAGATAGCAATGCAGGTAATATACATGAGATAGCAATGCAGGTAATAAAGATGAGATAGCAATGCAGGTAATATACCTGAGAAGGCAATGTAGGTGGTATACATGAGAAGGCAATGCAAGTGGTATACATGATATAGCAATGGAGGTAATATACATGATATAGCAATGCAGGTTATATACATGAGATAGCAATGCAGGTAATATACATGAGGTAGCAATGCAGGTGGTATACATGTGAGAAGCAATGCAGGTAATATACATGAGATAGCAATGCAGGTAAAATACATGAGAAGGCAATACAGGTGGTATACATGATATAGCAATGCAGGTAATATACATGAGATAGCAATGCAGGTAATATACATGAGATAGCAATGCAGGTAATACACATGAGGTAGCAATGCAGGTGGTATACATGTGAGAAGCAATGCAGGTAATACACATGATATAGCAATGCAGGTAATATACATGAAATAGCAATGCAGGTAATATACATGAGAAGGCAATGCAAGTGGTATACATGATATAGCAATGGAAGTAATATACATGATATAGCAATGCAGGTAATATACATGAGATAGCAATGCAGGTAATATACATGAGATAGCAATGCAGGTAATATACCTGAGAAGCCAATGCAGGTAATATACATAAGATAGCAATGCAGGTAATACACATGATATATCAGTGCATGTAACATTCCCTATAATAAATTCAATTATGCCTTGGAAATTATTTTTTGCCAAATTTTTATTATTGGCTTTTCATAATTAAAAGTATATCAACAAAAAACAAACCAACTAACCATAATATCTAGAGTACATCTCTATGTTTCCAGTGCTTTGAGGAGGCAATTGCCAGACAGAATGGAATGAAGGATGACTTGCATGTAGTTGCATTTGCAACCTATGAGATTGCATCACTGCTGATACTCTCACCTGAGGTAAGTAGAGTTGGGGGAGGGGTAAGTAGGGGAATCACATGAGGGGGAAGTAGGAGAATCACATGAGGGGGAAGTAGGAGAATCACATGAGGGGGAAGTAGGAGAATCACATGAGGGGGAAGAAGGAGAATCACATGAGGGGGAAGTAGGAGAATCACATGAGGGGGAAGTAGGGGAATCACATGAGGGGGAAGTAGGAGAATCACATGAGGGGGAAGTAGGAGAATCACATGAGGGGGAAGTAGGAGAATCACATGAGGGGGAAGTAGGAGAATCACATGAGGGGGAAGTAGGAGAATCACATGAGGGGGAAGTAGGAGAATCACATGAGGGGGAAGTAGGAGAATCACATGAGGGGGAAGTAGGGGAATCACATGAGGGGGAAGTAGGAGAATCACATGAGGGGGAAGTAGGAGAATCACATGAGGGGGAAGTAGGGGAATCACATGAGGGGGAAGTAGGGGAATCACATGAGGGGGAAGTAGGAGAATCACATGAGGGGGAAGTAGGGGAATCACATGAGGGGGAAGTAGGGGAATCACATGAGGGGGAAGTAGGGGAATCACATGAGGGGGAAGTAGGAGAATCACATGAGGGGGAAGTAGGAGAATCACATGAGGGGGAAGTAGGAGAATCACATGAGGGGGAAGTAGGAGAATCACATGAGGGGGAAGTAGGAGAATCACATGAGGGGGAAGTAGGAGAATCACATGAGGGGGAAATAGGAGAATCACATGAGGGGGAAGTAGGAGAATCACATGAGGGGAAAGTAGGAGAATCACATGAGGGGGAAGTAGGAGAATCACATGAGGGGGAAGTAGGAGAATCACATGAGGGGGAAGTAGGAGAATCACATGAGGGGGAAGTAGGAGAATCACATCTGGGAGATACAGTTATGGATCTTGAATTGATCTTTTTGGCGTAAAAACAATCAAGTTTGTACTATAATTTTCAAGATTTCTCATCATATGTGACTTGAATCAGACCTGTACATCTGGCTAAATTTTGAGATTATAGAGAGTTGCAAATTAATCATACGAATATGTCAAATATTTTTTCTCTTTATGGTTTTCAGACTTTGGAGCAAGGGAAAAAGATGTTGATCAAAGCAAAGGTGAGAAACGGATAATATTGCATCAATTTTTATAAGTTATATAAAGAATCTAAGCTTCATAAATATTTGGGAGTCACAAGCTGCTATACATGTATTTACAAATGTTTTTTTGAAAAGTAAATTGTGAACATTTATCACCTTAAATTTATTTTATTTTCTCTTAAGTTTTCCTGGATTGTTTTGGCTTTATGTAACTGTGATACATTTTCACTAACAATTGATAATTCACATTTAGTGATTTTTCTTTCAGGACAAATATAAAGACTATGAATTTGAAAATCGTTTAAACGTTAGAATTCATGCAGCATTGAAACGTTTGAAAGAGAAACCTGCTGAAAAATAAATAGTAGGAATCAAGATTCCATCCAGTGCATCATGGTACTTTAGTTATGAACTACCATCACTAGAGGACTAACGATACCATGACCTAATCACTACACAACTCATGGAAAGCAGCGCAGCTAGAAGGACTTGATATTTAAACATATGCTTATCTGCTTATCGTATAGTTTTTAGTTTTGTGTCGTCATAAAAACGTGATTTGATATTCTTCTACTTTCAATTGATATTTTAGTGAATTGTTCAAAATGTAACGTTCATGAACAAGATGTACTATTGTACATGTAGGTGGTATACTAGCAGATATTGTATGTGTGATGTGAATTGATACCATTAGTATATTTCTACTGGAAATGGTGCCATTTTGTTGAAGCTTACTCTCTGGTTTGTATTACACTACTTCGTATGACATGTGTTCTTGTATTTTGCATGTACTTGTATTGCATATGTACAGTCCTGTACTTGTATTGTTTATGTACTTGTATTGTGCATGTACTTGTGTTCAAAGTTCATACCCATCATATTCCAAGACATTGGTATGGAAGTGTCACCTAAACAGCTGTTTGACAGGCCACATTTTGCGAGTTTTTTTTATTTTATTTTATTTGATCTTTATTTCAATAATGTTGCATTGATATAAATGAAGTAATACTTTACATATCAGGTTTTAACTAAACTTGGAACAGACCATTGAAACGATACAAACAGCTGACACTTACATAGTGGACATGTATATTTATTTAATTAAATCATTATAGCCGCCTAATAACTCTATCTGGGCTTTTGCAAACCATACCCATTTATTTCATATCGCTTACATTATTATGTATACAGTAAAACCTGTGTATATTGAACTTTTTTAGAGAAATAAGTTCAGTGTTGTTAGGTGTTCACTACAGAGATTGTGATTTATACAGAAGTCAGTATGTGGGGAGGAATGGTGTTTACGAAAGAGATGTTTTCACTAGAGAGAAGTGTTCACTATATACAGGTTAAACTGTATGCATACTTTTTTGACCAATTCAGTTTCAGTATTAAATACTGCATTTGACTCTCATAATTATTAAATGCTTAAATTGCTTAGCAAAGATCTGGATCTATTCCCTTTTGGGGAAGTTATATATACATGAAACTGTGATTCAATTGTCAGGTAATTTCAAATGTACTTACAGTATTATGTGTGAGATTGCGCATATTTTGACCAATTTTGGTATGAATTGTGAAAATGAGAATTTTGCACCTACTTGAGAAAAAATCCTGTTGAGATCACTGGATGTAATAACAAAGCAAGGGCTTATCCAGTGAAAAAATAATAGGTGAGGCAAATGTAGATGGTTGAGGTAAATTGAGGCTAAAGGACTTCATTTCCACTGTTTTAGTTGAAAAAATGTCTGATTAAGAATATTTTTGTTGAGTTTTGGCGAGGCAGTTGCCTTGCATGTCTCACGCCTGGCTACGTCTGTGACGATAGCTATATGTTTGCTGTGATGTTATTTGTAAGTAATCTTTAATTTTTGTATTCTTACATAATATTTGCTTTTTTAATTTGTGACTTGTGTGCTAATTAACTGTGAATGCACTGAGGTTTGAGATCATTCCTGTGCACTAGAGCTGATCTTTCTATATGTCAATGTGTAAGTTATTCATTGTGAAAAGTAGACCTAGTTGGTGTATGTATGCTAGTAGTATTATGTCATTGTCAAGCTTGCATTTTAACTATTGGTCAAATCCAGGTCACATGACATGAAATATTAAGAAAATATTTCATTCTATGGAGGGCAATACCTGTTCATTTTTCAGTATGTATTGCCCACAACCTGTAGGGCGAGGAAAATACATGCTGCAAAAATCATTGAAAGAGCAACAGGTATTGCCTGAACATAGAATGAAATATTTGTTTTAATATATCATTGCTAGACATTCTCTATGATCATTTATTTTTATCAATAAATATATCATTAACCCATAAGTTTAAGTAAACATAATTATGTACAAGTATCTTTGTATGGTACACTTTATTTGTGGCCAGTGCAGTTTCAGAATTCCAGGGCGGGCAATACACCGGGCAATACGTCTTTTATCATCCTAAAATTAAGGGAGCTGTGAAATACGCTATGGTATTTTTGATCAAATGGTACTAAATTGACCAATCAAATCAGACAATTTCTAGCAATGATATAGTAACAGATGATATTCATTTGTATTCACTTGTCATGGTATATCACTGATATTCACCTCTATAGAATGAAATTAATTTATTGTAGTCAATGTTCAAGAAGTTTTAGTTTAGAACATTTAGAACACTTGTTGTGGATCAAAGTGTGTTGGGAGAAGTGGAAATAATCAATTTGAGGGTAAAGACTTCTCTTTCTTTATTAGTTAATCACATACATTGTGGGTTTTACTGTAAATACATAGAGAAGAAACCATTAATTTAAAAGGGAGTTTTTAACAAGAGAAACTATTTATACACATGTTGAAATTGTATACATTGTTGACATTTTGTATTTAGATACAATTTATATATCTTTGCATAATGAAGCATGGGAGTGATAATATAGTTAGTATAAGCTGGTGAGAATTATGCAATAAACTGAAGAAATATATTTTAGTGTCATGTTTCATTGTTTGTCCAATACAGTACTTGATTTTGTTTGAGGTTTGTAAAATGTACATTGGCCTCTAGATAATATAAATGTACATTGGCCTCTAGATAATATAAATGTACATTGGCCTCTAGATAATATAAATGTACATTGGCCTCTAGATAATATAAATGTACATTGGCCTCTAGATAATATAAATGTACATTCGCCTCTAGATAATATAAATGTACATTGGCCTCTAGATAATATGTACAATTCCCGAGCCTCACCTTTTCAGTTCAATATGTGATCCGAGTGGGATAAAGTAAAATCAGAACTGAGAAAAAGTGTTCATAAGTTAAAACTATGAACAGAATTAATTTTGTCTTTGGTTACATTTTAAAAGGAAATTGTGTGGACTTATTAACTCACGAACTAACGAACGAGAATAAAAAAGTTAAATGATGTTATCCTCTGCTATATTTGGATGTTATTCATGACTGATTTAGATGGCAGCACTTTCACTATGTGTCATGTAAACCGTGGTATACACTGATCTGGAGGAAATCTAAATGAATCTTCATGAAGATTCAATATTAATTTGTTCTTAGCATTGTTCAAGGTTCAAGGCACATCAGAGGATAGAGACAAGCTGAGAGTACACTTATTACAGGCAGAAACCGATTTATAGGTGGTGACAAAATATAGATCGTCGCATGAGAATAACTTTGTACTATCTCACATTTTTACGGAACTGAGAAATCAAGGTTTGAAAGTTTAGAGGTCTGTATCTTACTTAGTATTGCTATGTGAAACTTGATTTTTTGTATGTCACCTGGTCTCACCCCAGAGATATCTTATATGAAATATCATACCTTGAAACAATTTACAAGATCCTTTTTTAAAACTATGGAAATGGAGTTGATACAATTTCCCACCGGAATAACAGCTTATTTCTAATTTCAAATTGTCATATCTGATATCAACTGTTTCAACCAATCAACTCTCTAAGAATTGGTCATGTGACTTGCAAAACTTGGAGTTATAACAATCTTATATTAAAACAAAGTATGCCAATATGCATGTTATTGTATCTAGAATGAAAAATAATGTTTTGCTTTGTAAAAAAAAATCTTCAAAAACCAAAGAATATTATTTAATAAAATAAAGAAAATTCAATTTATAAAACTTTAAAATCAATTTCTCAAATAAGTACAATTATTTCTTAATTTTGGAATCTCAGGACACCCTTCAAAAAGAATTTATTGCCTTTGAAACTAAGGCAGAAGTGCAATGCATTGAAACCAATGATGCCAATACGGTCCCCCACATATTTCCCTCGGTATAAACCCTGTAGCCTAAACCTCCCAGCACATTACAATGTAGCCCCCAAGGGCCGGTCCGCTGGTCATTATCAGGTTATTTTTGATACAGACCAGTTGATATTTTCACTGGGTATAGGAGAATAACATTGCAACTGGTCCGTAATTCCATTTTGACCAGCAGGTTTCAGATCCTTAGGGCCTAAGACATAACCAATTTTTATTACATGCACATGGAAGAAATTTGAAAAATAGAAAAATAATTTCTAATTCATTTTAGATTAATGAAAGTGATGAAACATCGATTTAGGTAATCACATTTTGTTCATTGGGATGCAGCTATCATTATTCATTCATTTTCTGTTGTTTGCTACTCTGTGGAGTACAATTGGGAATTGAAGCAATTGTAGAAGTGGAGACTAAGAGTGGCTCTTTGTAAAGAAATTGAACCAATTTGTTACTTTTCCAAAATAAAATGTAGATGATCTAAAAACAATGATCCCAAAAATGCAAAAGAAAGGACAAATCTGAAAAACATACTAGTAATAAAATAATAACTAAAAAGATCCCAGATGTTCAGTGAAGAGCGCAAAGTAAATCATAGATGAAGATAAAATAAAATAAGTGTTTTAAGGGACTATACTAACATAAAGATAACTCCTTATTGATATGGTCAGTAAAAGTTAAAGCTAGTTTAAATAGATTTAGCTTTTTTCCACAAACATCATTTTGAAAGAGATTTCAATAGTATACAGACAGTGATTGCCTTTGAGCAATGTAGTGCAAAATATGACAGTTACTATTTGTTTTGATTACTATATCTAGTATATAACCTATTATTATGTACTCTATTTGAAGAAACAAATAAGTAGTCTTTCATTTTCAACATTTAATGATGACAGCTTCGTATATGCATTTCTATTGCATTTGGCCATTCAAACCCCTATAAGACCTGGTAGCAGGGAAGATAAAGGGTACTTTTGACTGCTCACATGATCTAATTAACTGGTCATTTGTACTTTTCATCTTCCCTGGTAGCAAGGATTTAGGTTTTCGAGGAAATTAGTAATTCTATTTCATATCATGTGGCCATGAATAATCCAATGAGCATCCATAATACAAAGAGTAATTGAGGGCATATTATTTGAATATGCATGGGATTACACATACTGTATCATTTTATTTTTTTGATCTACTTGTAATAGTTCTAAAACTAAAACATGAAAGGCCAGGCATGCAAACTGGCATGGTATTGTGTTACAAAACATTATTTCATTCTAGATACAATAACATGCATATTGGCATACTTCGTTTTAATATAAGATTGTTATAACTCCAAGTTTTGCAAGTCACATGACCAATTCTTAGAGAGTTGATTGGTTGAAACAGTTGATATCAGATATGACAATTTGAAATTAGAAATAAGCTGTTTGTCTGGAGATGGTACAATTTCACACTGAATTCTAGCTTAATGAGAGGGAATTGAGATGGGGCATGTATCTGAGATGAAAGCCTGTGTTTCAAATAGTAAAATTCCATGTCTATCTCAATTTTTTGGAAAATGGCAGTTAGTACAAAGTTATTCTCACGCGACGAAATAGTGGTAAACATATTTATAGAAAAATAGTATTTTTAGAAAAATTTACATGACAATGAATGATATGAACCAAAAATATTGTTAAATCAAGACAGGTTTTGTTGAGAGTATTCATGGGATTAATTGCCAGCTTGTTAGATCGTCACAAAGGATTTTTATAAAAAAAAGTAGAGATATATTTTTCAAATTAAATTGTTACCATTCAAAAAATGACAAGAAAAATGTATTCAATTTAGATCACATATTCACCAATCCTTTACTATTTTCTGCTAACAGCATTCCTTGTATATTTTCATAACATGCCAAGATAATGCTTTGATTTTAAGCTTTTTTGGCATAATATCAATTCTAATGTGCTTGGATACTTCTGCATCTTAATTATTCAAAAAGCAAAAGGGACAGAGAGTATATTATATTGGAGCAAATCTTCAAAAATGTATATTCTTTTCTTTACAATCCTAATTTATTTTCACAAAAGGAATTGATAAAAATTGCCATTTTCTTGTATATCATAGTCATAACTGTTCGACTTTTTGGAAACCAACTGCTGGCTGTCGGCTGTCGATTTGACCGCTTATATATGGCCCGTTCGTTTAAATATGAAAAGTAGCAGTTAATATATTTAAACGAGTTGGCCATATATTAGCGGTCAAATCGTTAGCCGGCAGTTGAATTCGCAAATTATACCTAATTTTGTATCACTGATAATTTTGTTTTAATGTTCAGTCCATGTTTCCACTCATAGTCGCGAATATGTGGCTTGTGCTCATTTCTTAAAACCATGTAATGAAAAATCCAAGATACATCAGACTGAAGCTCTTTTAGTAGAGGATGTGTGACGTTTCTTGGGAAGTCTTCTTTTAGCAGTTCATCCAACCAAGATGCGTCTTCGTTGTACCTTAATTGCTGTAGGATCCAGATCATCGCAATAAACACATGCGATTTGCTTTTAAACGGGTGAATGTCTCGCGAAGGGTAGAATACATCTTGAACACAATATCTTCCCAGAGCGATAGTATTTAATGTAAACCTATTCTTGTTATAATCATTTTTACCTTCACACATTGATTCGATGGCCGTCTTCACAAATGTTTTGAAGCATTTGCCCACATTATCCGATGACGTGCAAGAGCTTGATGATCAAGCAGTGCCATTCTTATGTTGTACGATGATAACGAATTGGACGGCATCGTGTGGCCGTCATCATCAGTAGCACCAATACGTCCGATGCGATTCTTTTCACGCAATGGGCAATGTATTTAAGACAGAGAAACAGCTCCTGATGTTGAAGGTTCAGTGTGTATTTGTCACAGTTGGAAGGTTCTACTGTAGACTCGCGCCACCGATCAACTATGTTCGGAACTATCACGTATCGGCCAGGTTTGCCTTTTATCTTCCGTTCCAAACAGAAACAAAGGTCAACCTTTGTTTCACATAGAGGACCAGCGATCTTGAGTATTGTACTCGGGCCATGGGGATGACTCGATACGCACACATCCGTTTCACATTCGGGACCGGCGATCTTCTGCACTGTAGACCTTTCGGATTCTGTATCATATTTTTGATCTTGTGCATAATATTTTCCTGTAATTTCTTCCCGAATTGTACGCATGAATTCGTTGTAAGTGTATAGGCGTGGCTTACTAGTACACTCAAGTTGTGACTTGGTCAGCAATTGGTTTGCAGCCCCCGGCTTGATTTTGACATTCATGCGTTCTTTTCCTCTATCCATGAAATCATCATGTACTATTTCAACGTCATTCTCAGTTGTTGCTAATACTGGAAGAAAGTCGAACTCGTTTGGCTGAAGTATCTTACAACGCTCATAGAAGCTTCCCCGTTTTATGATTTCCACTACTTTGAACGCTGGATTATTTTTACCGAGATTTGCGCATATATTTTGAACAATCTTTTCCACATCACTCGCATGTTTGATAAGATCTTCTTCTTTGTATTTTCTCCAAATGTCAACCTTTTGCGCCACATGGCTCACAAAATCCGACAATCTCTTATATTCAATATCATCTTTACCCCGAATGTCTGATCCGTTGCTAGATTTATTACGAGGCTTTTGGTTCGCTCCACTCGGCAAAGAAAAATATGGTCCCGTGAACATTGGTATCTCATTTCTAGAGGGAGTGAAATTTGTAAATCCGACATTTCTCCATGGACCTCTACAATTCAACATGTTGATCAACGGCTCTTTAAAGTTGAACTTACAAAGGTAGAGAGGTTAATAGAATATATCATCGAGTACTCGAAATCAGGTTGAATTTTTATCTTATAACAATTAATTACTTTAAAAATTGCGTTTCATTTTCGTGTCACCCTATATCATTAATCAGACATGATTTATCATTTGAAAGTCAACAGTAGCACCAAATAACATTTCTCCCATCCCTATAACTTAACGTTCTAAAAATGACAAACAAATTACCAGATTTAAAGGGATAATATAACATATTTTACAATAAGACACACTATACATGTACGTCTGTTTGACATTTCTGTTTTCAAAAGACCTTGCCTCATTTTTGCTTTTTCGGCTTTGATGTTTTCAGAATAGATTTAAATCATTCCCTCAATGGTTGCATGAATAACGCACATGTGAGTAGGTAGTTACCAGTTTCACCACCATGTGGCTCGTTCGGGTCAGATACAGGGCGTTCAATAAGTACTGATAATAAAAATGCTGAACCTTTTTTGTTTTTTCATATATCTTACTAATTTTTCTAGTGTGCATTGTTGAGTGTTATACCGATGTACTGTGAACGTTACAGGACTGCGGTCCAACATGAAGGTCCCGGGATGAAAGGTGGTGCTGGGTTGAGCGAAAGGATCAATGTCATTTCTAAATCATCATACCAACACTTGAATCAGTCATGTCTGCAATTTTTCTGATAGGAATTTATCCAACATTTCTTTTATTGTACTCACTCTGACAAGGAGAAGTTACAGCTTTTAGTCACCCCCGTCTGGGTTCATCTACAACTGACTTTCTCCCTCTTTGAAATAGCGGTACCAACGATATATGCCAGGGGTAGATATAGCGTCCTTTCCATAAACTTGATGAATGTCCTTTATTGTATCCTGTTTTGATTTACCCTTGGACAGTATATAGAACTTGGTGCTGCTTCTAATTTGACGCTGGATATTATTGATATTCTGCTCTTAGTATATCTTAGATATCTTAGTACCAGTGTTTATTTTCCAACTGTCAAGATGGATTCAAAAATAAAATTATGTATGAAAATGTTCACATTTTAAGTTGGTTATTTTGAAAAACATCGTGCAGACCTGAACCACGAGGAACCACTTTTGACTCCACCCAGTACCACCTTCCTGTTAGAGTACATTATTGTAACTTTCACAGTACATCATGATCAGTAGTCCCCGATCTGATTCCCAAAAGGGCTCTAGAAAAGGGGTTTTGTTGTCCGGTACTTTCCCACATAAAATGATTGTACCGTTTGAAAGAACAGACTTACCTCTTAAAGAAAACACCTCTTCTATTGATGTAAACAGGGGCAAAAGGCACCAAAACGGGGTTAGACAAGGTGGCATTCTGAAGTCTCACTTTCTTGTCATCACGATTCCAGGTAAACCATTAGACGGATTTACTTCAAATTTTCAAACATGTTACATGGTAAGAAGTTCTAGAGCTGATTAACTTTGCGGCGGCCATCTTGCATTCTGGTGGCCATCTTGGATTTTTTTTCAGATAAATATTGTCATCGCGATTCCACAAAAACCACATAACAGATGTACTTCAAATGTTCACACATGTAACATGGTAAAAAGTTCTAGACCTCATTATTTTTTTGGTGGCCATCTTGCATTCTGGCAGCCATCTTAGAAGTTTAAAGATAAATCTTGTCATCACGATTTCAGGAAAACCAAACGGATTTACTTCAAATTTTCACACATATTACATGGTAAGAAGTTCTAGAGCTAATTAACCTTTCGGTGGCCATTTTGCATTCTGGCGGCCATCTTGGAAGTTTTTTCGATAAATCTTGTCATTGTGATTCCAGGAAAACCACTTTACTGATTTTCTTGAAACGTTTACACATGTTACAAGGAAGGTTACATGCTACCTTTTATATTGATATAAACAGGGGCAAAAGGCAGTAAAGTGGGGTTACACAAGGTGGTATTCTAAGGAGAATGTTATCTATTTTTCTGTATTTTAAACCACATAATTTGACATAAATGCATATTTGGTGTATGATATCATGTTTTATATTGATAAAAACATGGGCAAGAGGCGCTACAATGGGGTAACACATGGTGATATTCTAAAATACATATTTTTACTCTGCTTCTGTACTTTATACCACTTAAATGCATTTTGTGTATGACATCGATTGATTTTTAGAATAAATAACTACATTTCATCAAAAAGAAAAAAGATTATTGAAAAGGCTTTGTATAAAAAACCTCCTACCTCATACCCACCTACCCACGTACGTGGGACATGATGCAGTCTTTGAAGGGTTCGATTTTAAAGATCTTAGTTTATTAAATCTTAGTTTATGATGAACTATAGATGCATTTGTAATGACCCTTGATAGCAAGTTGCTACTACATCCCAGCTGGGTTCGATTCCCACAAGGGGCATCGAATTTAGAACACTTTCTATCAATTTCTTTATCTGGCTTGTTGGATCTATGCTCGCGGTCGTAAGTTATTTATTCCCCTGGGGCGCCCTCGGGTCATTACACATTAAAATGCATCCATATGCCTTTATTTATGGATCTGTCATCTGTCTAGTCATAAAATAAAACCGGAATTGTAGAAATGTTAATAATTTGAGCTATTTTGAGATTTAATAATCTTTCAAATTGAACCCTTCAATGACTGTATCATGTTCCACGTAGGTGGGTAGGTGGGTATGAGGTAGGAGGTTTTTTATACAAAGCCTATTGAAAACGTCAAACATTTCTTTGAAATCCATTATTGCACAGCGATTTTTGAGAGCGAAATGTATGCTAAATTGGCCCTGATCTGAGTATATAACGGAATTAAAGCTCTTTTAAACGAAAATGTAAATGTGTGGAAAACCTTTCACTGTGCATCATGTCAACGAAATGTTCTTCATGCAGTTGAATTATCTTCTGGACAGGTGATCACACAGAAGGAGAGACCTGTGTATCATAATCCTTACTAAATATAAACAAAAATGACAAATGAGAAAGGAAAAAAGTGTAAAGCAACCTAGTGGGAAAAGCAAACTGTAAAGTGTAAAACTGGCAAACAAAAATCAAACCTGAATATCCCAAGACAATAATCTAATATGGGAATAAACAGCATCCACACCGTTCAATGACCAATTCCTCATCAACGACCACAACTCCGAGGGACATTCCATTCATACTGAAGTCATTAAAATACATGTTGAAGAAAAATAATGATATCCAATACTCATAAGATCAAAAATAGTTGTAGATACTATAGTACTCATAAACGCTGCAGATAACGTTTCTTCATCGCATTAGTCAGATATTAACTAACGAGCTGGTTCAGAGCAGCAGCATGTCAAACTATGTGAATGGGCTCTGTATCCACAATGTTGCGAGTTCGAGACACATGTGCTCTTTCCGTTTAATAATCAACAAAATCACTTAAACCTGCACTAAACTGTGTCAGATCGATATAAGTATAGGGTTTGGAAACTAATTGTACCAACAAAAAGAACTTAAAAAATACTGCTACAATATCAACATAAGCTTTCAATAGTAGTGACGATGCAGAAACATGCAAAATGTCACCACACCTTGTTAAGTATACAGTACACATTAACTACTGAACAGTGTCAAGATAAACGTTCGAAGCTATTACAATATGTCACCCAATCACTAGTGGTGGTGACATAAAAATAATGTATAGAAAAATCTACTGAACCAAAATAAACTTTGTGATAGAAGAACTGATTGTTTACTCTAAGTTTTCAACTAAATATATTTCTAATAAGCAATGTTTTATCGAAAAGAAAAAATAATTTCATGTTATATAAGATCAAATAAATTAATTATATTTTTTTCGTCGTTACACCAGTAATAACAAACCTGTTTATAAAGTGGTGTTGACTAGACTATATAATTTAACAGTCATAAAAGTAATAATAAACCTGTTTATAAAGTGGTCTTAACAAGACTATAGAATTTAACAGTCATAAAAGTAATAATAAACCTGTTTATAAAGTGGTCTTAACAAGACTATAGAATTTAACAGTCATAAAACCTAAAAAATATACCAGGAGGTGACCATTGTGAATGTAAATGTATAAAGTGTGAAAATTTGAAGCAAATCTGTAAAGTGTTTTTTCTGGAATCGTGATGACAAGATTTATCTACAAACTTCCAAGATGGCCGCCAGAATGCAAGATGGCTATCAGAAAGTTAATCATGTAACATGTGTGAAAATTTGAAGTAAAACTGTTACGTGGTTTTCATGGAATCGTGATGACAAGATTTATCTAAAAACTTCCAAGATGGCCGACGGAATGCAACATGGCCACCGAAAAGTTGGTCAGCTCTAGAACTTCATACCATGTAACATGTGTGAAAATTCGAAGTAAAACTGTTAAGTGGTTTTTCTGGAATCGTGATTACAAGATTTATCTATAAACCTTCCAAAATGGCTGCCAGAATGCAAGATGGCCACTGAAAAGTTAATCAGCTCTAGAACTTCATACCATGTAACATGTGTGAACATTTGAAGTTAATCTGTTAGGTTGTTTTCCTGGAATCACGATGACAAGATTTATCCCAAAATATCCAAGATGGCCGCAAGAATGCAAGATGGCTGCCGAAAAGTTATTCACCTCTATATTTTCTTACCATATAACATGTGTGGAAATTAGAAGTAAATCCGTTTGGATTTCCTGAAATCGTGATGACAAGATTTATCTTAAAACTTCCAAGATGGCTGCCAGAATGCAAGATGGCCACCGAAAAAATAATGAGGTCTAGGACTTTTTACCATGTTACATGTGTGAACATTTGAAGTACATCTGTTATGTGGTTTTTGTGGAATCGCGATGACAATATTTATCTGAAAAAAATTCCAAGATGGCCGCCAGAATGCAAGATGGCCACCGCAAAGTTAATCAGCTCTAGAACTTCTTACCATGTAACAATGTGTGAAAATTTGAAGTAAATCCGTCTGATGGTTTACCTTGAATCATGATGACAAGAAAGTGAGACTTCAGAATGCCACCTTGTCTAACCCCGTTTTGGTGCCTTTTGCCCCTGTTTACATCAATAGAAGAGGTGTTTTCTTTAAGAGGGAAGTCTGTTCTTTCAAACGGTACAATCATTTTATGTGGGAAAGTACCGGACAACAAAACTTTTTTTCAGAGGGTCCAGATCAGGGACTACAGTACAGTACTCAACAATGTACAGTAGAAAAGTGAGTCAAATATATAAAATTAAAGTTACAGCATTTTATCAGTATTTATTGAACGCCCTGTAGCATGGCGGGTATAGTAGGAAGTTCCCTTTAACTTAAATTAAATCTGTTTTAGTGGTTCGATTTTCATATCACTGCACCCTTATTTGTATCTAATAGTTATGCAAATTAAAATATCTCCAATAAAAGAAAATGTTATCTGTCTAATACAAAAAATGATTTCACTTTTTGTGATTTTGTAACATGGGGTCTATGGGGAATCAACCCGGTCACTTTTTCAAAAAAAATTAAATTTTCAAAGATGATAAATAATTTTCGAAACCATATTTCCACATGTACTTTTACATGTAGATTTCAAATATGACATCACTTTGACTGAATTTCGAATATTTAATGACGTAAGTAAAGACTTTGTTTCTACTCGCATCTATAGTCAAGTTGCAGTTTTTTCAAATTATATCGGATCTGAGTCCATCAGAGAGATTGAACCTAGTTAAAAAATACAGTACAAGTAGATAATACATTCCGACGTTTAGTTGACCTTGAATTATTTATGAAACATTTTTTTTGGCCCAGAAATAAAGCACAAAATATTTATGAAAATGTATACGTATCATACATCCGTTATAAACGTTTTTAAGTTACATTACATGTAATTATATCAAACATCAGCTAAGAAAATCAATTTAATTTAAGAAACTCTATCTAGCATTAGACCTGAAGAAACTTATGTTATTCCAAGAATTCGTCAATAATTTGACAAGTTGCCATTCACAAATAATCATACCGGATTAAAACAGATTAAAATTAAAATTAAATTAAAAATGTCAAGAATCGGGTTGTATGTATTATAACATGGGGTCAATATTGTGCTTATTTGAGACGGACAGTCTGGTGGGTTTGGATTAGTCTTAACTGCCTCTTGATCTGACTGCTGATTGGGGCTAATCCCTTCATTAAGCCCAAACACATATACATTACACTTGGTGCCAAATATATAGCACCAATGTTTAGGTATTTACTCTAATCCGATACACGGACATGTTTAAGTTAAATTGTAGCTTTGTTGTTGTTTCTTGTTAATTAATTAGATTGGTGGCCATTGATTGTTCCGGATTTTGTTGCATTGGATTCTAAGTTTTGTTTTTTAATCATTGTATGGCAGTGTGTTTGTATGTTTTGATTGCTATGGATTCTTGAAGTTCAATTACATGTAATGATATTTGGAAAGTGAGAAATGCTGTTGCTTTAAAAGCAGTTGTCTATTTGTTATCTCCACCTGAACGCGATTTTGCTATTGTCTGTATTTTACGAACGAACGCACAATTATTTTCAACACTTGTTGGTCACATATTTTCATTCTAAGTTCTAGACGCTGAAACTATAAGGTCACACACGCCACCCAGGAATGTTTTGGAAAGTGGTCAATGATTTGGACAGTTTTAAAAATGCCGACGATTGCAACCATTTTATTTGCATCGGTGAATTATCGCCAAACTTCTGTCGAAGCATTAGCTAATGCTACGTCAAACCATAGATCAATTTCAAGTTGTTATTTTTTCTTTTATTCTCTTAAGCTACCTTTAAGCAATTTGTTATTGCAACATGTTAAGTTAAGATCCATTAGGGCGAGTAATAGTAGCGGTATTCTAACACAATACCGGCGTCCCTTTGAACTTGATGGTTTTGTTGATTCAGTTTCACTGTTCTGCGAGTAAAGGAACCACCATTCAAGAAAGCTCTTAGTAATATCAGAGGCCTATTTATCTAATTTTATCCCGTGGAACGTGAATATTATTTTTCTAGATAAGTCAAGAATTATTGTTACTGATGCGATTGTACGTAAGACTTGTGGATTAGGGCTAACTCTAAACTTTGATCGCCTTTGTGAGTCAGTCCAGCATTGTCATCTCGAGCTTTAAGAATAGGGCCCTAGGTGGAACAAAATACGAAATAAATAACTTCTGACAACAAACCAGCGGCTACATGGGGTTAACGTATAGTATCAGTTGATCTTCGATGTTTGCATTTTCTTCAGTTATGTTAGCTTTTAAATCAACTTACAATTCTTTGAGAGGGTTTTGTATTCTGTCAAAGTCGTAGCCTATCCGCTGGGGACCTATTGGAATAAATTCTTATTCATGAAATATTCTTCGCCCCATTGTTCTTGGATTATGACATCGGGGTATATCGAATCTGGCAGATATTTCTGATTGTACCTCTAGTCTGCTCGCGCGTATTAAGGATGACGTTGCTGTGGCAACTGAGATGATGGACAGATACTGTATAACGAAGTTCATAAAAAACAATACAACCAGTCATTTCGTTTTTAACATAACCATAATAGCACAGAACTTAACTTTTCAAGGCAGGGTCTTTGTAATATTTCCACCGTGTACATGGAGGCTACCCTTGATTTCGTTAACTGTTTGATTGTGCTTCACCCGGGGCTTGAGAACAGTACTTTCTAAAATAAATGTTATTTTTCCTATACTGTACTCAAATGTTACAAATGCTCAGGAAACGACTGTATTTGTCTAAGAAAATGTCTAGCGTTGGATCGATTCAATTACTACCGCCTGTGGTTGTAAACCATGAAGCGTTAGTGTAGGCCATAACCAGGTATTGTTCCCGGGGACGAAGTTATTGTCATCGTCACGTACTTTTGTTAGTTCAACAGCAGATCGAAAGTGGCTTTTAGATACTACTTGGTGCAAACGCTTGAACTTTGGGGATTTAGGATCGGAGCAAATGTGTTTTTCGGGTCCTCAATAATTCATAAATTATTATTGCAATGAATGATAGTGTCTTTGCTATCAAGGTCTCAGGGAATACTGAAATTGGGTCATTGAATTTGAAACCTTTTTTGAATAGAAAATAGAAATGACTTTAATATTGTTGAAAGTTTTTGCGTCAATAATTTGTATTTTCAACCAATATCAACAAACGTAGAATATACATAAAAAAATATAGGATAATTCAAAACAGTTTATTAGCATTGGAATTGGACATGTTTTTGTTTTATTTAACCAAAACACAAAATTGTTTTACTGCTTAAAATCAACCTTCTAGTATTACACGAAGTTTTGTTATTTTATTTAGTGAATCTATGGCTACTTCTGAAAGACTTTAGAAAAAATAACAAAAATTGATTCAATGTTCGATACCTTACTATTGATCAACCCAAGTCAAACACAACACTCTTTTCTGAATTGATATAATTGGTGCGCATGCGCATTAGGCAATGCGGCACTTTTGATGTGATAAATGTTAATACTAATTATAAAGGTTTGTACAGCCCTCGGGTAAATAAGCCCCCGTGCTACTCTAATCAGGGCGGACCATTTTACCTGGAGCTGGGCAAAATGAGATTCAATAGAACATAGAGAATTATACAATTTTAGCAATATTGTAATTTAATTATGTAATATTTAAGATTCAAAGTGGAAAATGTGTAACTACTCTCAAATAATAAATGTAGATATTCACATTCATAGGAAAATTGACTAGGACATTTTTTGTTGAAATAAGTTTTACAACAAAATTTTACAATTATTCACTACACCTAATGATAATTTATTAAAAAGTTTCTTGTTTTTAATCTTAAACAATTTCTAAATTATGGATATCTGCTATTAAAAAACGTCAGCACTGGCACTTTTATTTATTCATTTCATTTTGTATGTATCTACCCCTTTAGAATTCAATGTACCAGCAAAATTACCTTATAAGGATGGATTAACGCGCTACTCTCGGACCTCCCACCTCATTGGCACAAATCATACATTTAATCCCAGCAAAACGAAAAACCAAGAGCAAATTGATGATAATTCAGATGTGTGAACAACACTCCCGTCGCGTGTGAGGAAAATAAAAAATCATCGAGCAGACGAAATACGGTTAGCAGAAGAAAGGAGTCACTCCATTGGCGAAGCTCATAGGGAATTGAGATAATTTATTCAAATTAACTACAGCGATTCTCACGACAATAGTATAAACTACGGACGATTGGATGGTACTGATAAGTATTAGTTTTTAGTTCTTCATTAACAATATTTCTGTTCTGATTAGTTTTTAATTATTTTGAAAACATAGCTTATTTGTAATTTTATCGCCAAGCACGATCAGGAAAGTAGTCTTGGAAATTGTCAAAAATCAGTTGAGTTTATTATTGTGCATGGATCATTGTCATACCTTTTCTATATATCAATATTTCTATTTTTGTAATTTTACAGAAACATGTCAGATGTTCAGCCAATTTCCATCCAAAATATGCAGCACCCCTTTCATCATATTATCGCCCAGCAAGCGCCGGCTTTTCCGCAACAAACGCCAGTATTCACACAGCAAGTGTACAACCAGGCGCCTCCTCAAGGTATGTCCGTAATACCGCAGATCATGGTTCCAGGCAGCCACCTTCACCACGGATACATCAGCCCACAGATGGGTAGCCCAGTCCAGTATTTGGACGCATTACAGCCGCAGCTACGGATGTTTCTTCCACAGAACACTGGGCATATGAACCATTCTCCCCCGGATATGGTCCAAGAGGCAGAATTGCGACAATACTGGAATAATATGTATATTAACAAATTGAATATGTCAAAAGAATCTTTGGAAAAGGCTCAGAAAGATCTGCGTACACCAAGTCCAAAATCAGAAGAAAATAACTCCGAGAAGGATAACAATGAATTGAACTGTTCTAGATTGCAATCTGAGAAAAATATAATTGACAATTGCACAGTAAAGGAAGAAATGAATACAGAACAATCGAATATACCATATCCGCAATATGTGCCTAAATCATTATACGTCAGGCAAACGATTCACCAACATTTAATGAAATCCCCCGATGCTAAAATCTCAAACGAGGTGGAAAATAAAAATGAAGAAGATACACAAAATTCAGGACAATCTACCATTACTTCCCCTAAAATCACAACTGCATCGAGTTCGCTTCCCCCATTTTCCCCCCTATCGTCTCTCAACTGTTCATCTGCTACGTCCCTCCTCTCTACACTCGCCTCAAACTCCCATATAACCAATCGTCAGCCCTTCACCGGTCAACACCATAGCCCACCTACATATTCTAGTCACCCCACCATTCAACTGCCACACCTTTCAACCACGCCCGACCACGCCAATCATGGTCCCCACTTTGCAATTCCATCCCTCCCAAAGGATCAAAGGCATCGCATCTATGCCCCCGTAGCAAAGTATGGGTTTAGTAGAGAAGAACTAGACGTATCCCTCTATGGATATACGAGGCCAACGAATGCAGAGTTTGCGGTCGGACACGCCATTTCAGGATTGAGTACAGAAAAAGGTTCGTGAACGTTTTTTACATTGGATTTAATATATTTTCTTTAACTGTATTTTGCATTTTTTGGAAATAGTAACCTCGAGTGATTATTCAAATACTTATACAGCATGAATAAAGGCCAATGTCATTATTACCATCATAAAATCATATTATTCAGATTAAAATACAGCTTTCCTACTCAAAACAAAATTTCAAACCAGTAAAAATTATCGAAATTGAACCAAACAGAATAAATTTTCAATTAAATTAGATTTAGGCCTAGCTTAAAACGAATATTGTAATTTTATAAAAACATGTTCATATAAGAATGAGAAAATAAGAAATGAAAATCAGATTATTTTAGTTTCACATTAATTTTTATTTTTATCACCATAACTGAATTCAATCCAATATTACCTCTCAGAGTTGTGACGGACGCACGTTCTGCGTCTCACAATTTATTAGAAAACATAAAATATTCATGATGTTTTTTAATAAACGACATGCTGTCATCATAACGCAATTTAATTCAAATTGTTTTAATTTCACTTCTAACTTCATCTAGGATAATCTTCAAATTATATATTATCCATAATTCAAGTTACTCATAATAATGAAACTAAGTATGTATAGGAAAAGTATTTTTATTTTTAAGAATTATTTAGAAATACTTTTTTTAACAATTAACGCGGAACAAAATGGAAATTGTATTATTCTTCAAACTCTTATCCAAGTCACTGACCAGTACATTTCATTGGCAACCTTTTCCTGGATCCTCAATTTCTAAACATTTTTTAAGTATTAATAAATGAATAATTATTACATATTTTATTTGTAATAAATTGTTTATAATCTGGACAAAATTTCAGTGCGTGTCCAGAATTTAAATAATATCAAAAATGGTTTGAAATTCATTGAATTGAATCAAAATACGATACATTCATCTTTTTGAGTATATACTGGGATGATCTAGGATGAAGATGATTTTAAGATTGGGTCTGCTTCACAAAAATTATTTTTTTGAATTCTAGTATGCATGTAAATGTAATGATTGAGTAATATGTCGTACATAATTAAAAAATATTTTATTATTATTTTATTAGTTACAATCCAAATAAATTTTCAGCATTCATAATTTGTATCATTAATAAAATGGTTTCACAGATTTTTCAGAGTTTGGGGTAAAAGAGATTGTCCTTACAGATACTTTTTCCAAAGAGTGTAAAAACTTTTTCCAAATAGTGTAAAATAAAATCTATATTCCGTATACATTGCTGTCCTGGATAAACCTTTTGAATTGTATTTAGTAATGAGACTGATAAAAAAAGGTTAGAATGGTGGAATCAACACCAAAATCATAATTTTTAAATGTAATTCTTATGTTTGTTTCGTTTTGAATAAAATTCCGGATTCTCTTTGCCAAAACACAATAAAAAATAAATGTTTTATTGAATAATAATGATAGTCAAATGATTATTTTAGAAATACATTTTGCTCATTTCCCGAAAAATTAGAATGAACAGTGATCGTTCTGCTATGACTCGTTACAATGACTATTAACACAGATATGTATAATTGATTAGTCAAATATGAACATTGAACTAATTAATTAAATCACGGAATATATAGAAATGATATACACAGGTACTGTTCCCCAACTGGCTACTTTGACGTAACGTCAACCGTAACGTAACAAAATGTAGAAACTACCCAAGTTCGAGATCGGTAAGATTTTGTTTTGTCGATATAAACCTTTATAACAAGTCAAAAAGTCTGACGTAAAGTTATAGATCATATATACACGTGTATATAGTCTTGTTAAGAAAGAACATTCGATTTGGAATTTGGTTTTAAAAGAAATCGTATCCCTCACTTTTTTATATTGACGAAAGTCTAGAATATTACAAATGTTACTTTTACGTGGACTTACTAACGTCAATGTAACAAATAAAGCGGGGGTACCAAATGCATAAATTGCGGTTTCATCTAAAAACCAAATCCCCAACCATGTGTATATTCTGAAACTAGACTATCTTTGCCAAATCATAATCTGCAACTTGACTTATACGTAGGTTTAAATCGAGAAATTAAAAAATCTTACCCGAACTTAAACTTAGGTAGCTCCTCAATTTGGTTACTTTGACGTCACGTCTAAGTAACCAGTTGAGGCATAGTGACAGGAGTTAGTTTTGTATATGATCTGAAAATATGTATTTGTAAAAAATGACCAAAGTAAAAAAAGTAAATTGCGTTGGGTTGATTGCTTGAACTTTTTAAGAATTAATACTTTTTTAGTATTTTCCCTTTTGATAATGGCAGCATTGTCATTAGTAACATAGGCCTATACTGTAAGTTAGATCTTCATATTGCTCGACATGACATTAACATTGCGAGAGACATTCATTTTAGTGTCTGAGGAGTCATTTTAAATCATTATCTCAAAAGCATTAAACCAAAGATGAAAATCTTTATAGACAAAGCTAAACTGGCTCATATTTACATTCATCTTTGAATTCTCGGTAATTTCCCTTTTGCATTAAACCTTGCTTACGTAATTACGCCAAATTTTTAACAAACATATTTTCGCAATTTTCATACATTTATGCAAATGCATTTATCATTTTTCTTATAATTACCAATTACATTCTATCAATAAGCGTATGGATGATTCAGGATTCGAATATAGAGACCTATAAAGACTAGTAAACTAACCGAAGTGGCTTCACAGTGTGTTCTTTTAGATTTTTTAATCTTTCATTCAGTCATACTATTTAGATGAATGACTAGACCTATAGGACTAGATAAATGCGATTATTTGCACTTGGATAAGTAAAAATAGCGACGGATGGTAATCTAAGTTTCATCGCCAGAGGATAAAAAACTGAACAGCTTGGACACTAAATCATATTATCATAAAAATGCTTGCGAAAACATCCTGAAACTCATTTATATATTAAATTCATAATGGGATTTAGGCAATTGAAGAAGGCAGGAATTGGATTTTCTCAATTGGTGATATGTTACTGTTGAACAGCACTCAAGTGGGATCTTTCTTCATTCATTTGATATTCATACCCCTTTCAAGTGCTTCAGTGTGTGCTTCTACATGTTTGTCTTGTCCCGCTATAACAATAATATTATTTTTCTCACTAAAGCCTTACAAAATCTTTCAAACTTGGAGCTAACTTCACATGTGCGATTTTGGATTGACAAAAGATTTACTCAAATAAGGATGAAATTTAAAACCCCATTCTTAGTATGATACTTAATGCAAATATGAGTTTAATCTGTTATTTGGACAAGACTGGGGGTTTAAATGTGAGAATTGGAAATTTGTTTCTTTTGGTTTGATGGGTTTAAAGAATAATATAACCCAATGTGTAATGGATCAACTGATATCGCATACATTTGGTGTGGTATAGTGAACATGATACCCCCGTCTTTGAATTCTTTAAAATCGCATTCAAATCTTCAATACATATTTGTTCAGAGTTTGGTCCCCAAAAGTGTTTAAAAGAAAAATGTCGCAATAGGTATGCTGTGTTTAAGAGTGAGGAAGTTATGTGATCTGGGTTTTTGTGTAGGATGGTTGATGAGTGAATTGGGATTGCAAATGGGATGGGATTGAGAATATGCTGAATATGTTTTGGGAAATGTGTAACTACAGAATGTCATAGATATAGCAGTTTTCAGTGAAGAGAGGGACTTGCCCAAACTTAATATACGAAGTATCAATTAAGAAATCTATGCATCCAATTTATGTATTCTTATCAAGTCGAATCTAAAGTAAAATTAATTAATTTCTTGGAGTATTTTATTAGCAATAAAAAGAATAACAAATTTTCAATTCAATGATTACTCTTTGGATATTCTGTATGGTGGCCAAATTACTGTTGTGACATTGCTTTGAGAATTGCCATCGTATTTGTTTAAGTGAATCATTCTTAATTTGTTTCACATTGACACGTTTAATCTGAAAAGGACCAAGCAAATTGCCCACATCAGCATCCTGTGTGGCGTATAGGCTGTCATCATATGTCAGAAAGTTCATTGTTTGGATATGATATATTTTACTGTTCAACATTTTGTGGGAGGGGAACCAAATAGCACTAAGAGGGCTTAATCCTTAGGGAGGTCCAGCTGTTATTTCGGCGTGTTTCATCTTCAAGGCTTATTTGACTGGGCTACAGGTAACAACTTTATAAACATATTGCATTCTTTTCGACAAAATATCCATATAGCCTAGAAAATGTCACCTTATTCTTGAACAAATAAATGTTTATATACTGTGAGGCCCAGTGGAACTAAACCACACAAAGTAAATGTTCGTAGAGTACTAGTTATTTTCAAGTCATACATCACAAGCCAAATTCAACAAAAATGTTATCCTTCTGTTATTCTTTCATTACCTTGTCAAACGTTGACTTAGACTACTTATTTTAATGCTCCCTGTTAAATAGATAAATTGTTGAGAGACAAAACAATGACTGACATATTTTATAATCTAAATTAATTCCCTCGGCTGATGACATATTGCACTGTTATTCTCATAGGCAGAGTTAAGCGAATAATTCAGCAGCAAGACATTATAATTTCGAATTGAAACTTAGTGCTGTATATTTTTAGTTTCCCCTTTAATTACAGATAATTATTAATATTTAGAGTAAATGTTATAGTAATCTCCGATAAAATAATTGTAGTTTGTTTGTTGCGAACTTACATCAATCTGAAATGATCAGGGTTTCAAAATATGATTGACCTAATTAATAAATAACATGCGTCTCAATGTGTCATTTGACAAAATGTGTTCGTTGTGTTTTTAAATACATGTTGCCTTTTGCGCCTTCTCATCGATAACGGGCATCCAAATAGCATGCATCGTATGCGACTGCAAAATCAAAATACAATTATCTTACAAAGACTAGAAACGAACGTTATATTACTGATTAATGTATGATTTATATAAATTATCATGAATTAAGTTAACTGAATAATTTAGATTTTATTCCTGCGTCATACTTTTCTTTTGTAACTGATGTAAATGTTAAATGAGAAGTGTCCTCAATAATGTTCACGAGTTGGCCATTGATTTCCATTAACTACGAAGGCGTTCCCATGTTGTATATAACACCTAAAACAATGGTTGAGCAAACACTTGCTTTAATAATGAAATCTAGACATTTTATTCAAACATTGTGAATGGACTGAGTTTACTTTGACGATTCATTGCTGTGAAAGCATTGGCGTTGTAATCGAATACAACCATAGGTTTTCAACTTATAGGGCACCGATTTCTGAAATAATCGTGGTGTGACCCAGATAATGCATTGCAAATATTAAACTACTTTTTACTTGCTATTATAGATTCTCCAAAGAAACATGATGCCGTTATGGACAGTGGTAATATCGAAGCGTCAAAAGAATCAAACTTGGACATCCCACAAGGTAACCTGCGTTTCTGCCCTCGGTTATGCTATTCTGTTATTTATAATCTATATCTTATATATTTATGTATTATCTATTTATTGTCTTCATCGGACAAACTTCGACCCGAAATATTTTTGTATTCACTTGACCGAGTATCACAATGGACATCACTATCTATGCTTTTATAAGAATCCTTGTTCTACTGCCTAAATGGACCTTTATAGTGCATGCTTTTTTATATTATCTTTAACCCGAGTGCTTAATTTATAAAAACATTCTATCACTCTTGTATGAACAAACAATATTTTTATTTTAGGTCTCAGAATCATTAAGACAAGCTATGCGGGTGTCTCACACCAAGGTGTTTTCTGCTATACAGATGTCATACCCAAAGGGACACTATATGGACCATTCAAGGGAAAGACTGTGCATACGAGTGAGGTAAAGACCAGAGATGACAATACAAGAATGTGGGAGGTAAGATCCTTATGATAGTGATTGACTACGAGTTTTTTTTATTATTTTATTTATTTAAGTCGTCTCATGACAGATTTAAAAAACACATTTTAAAAATGTCTTGGTTTCTAACTTGTATATTAAAGAAGTTGTATTATGTGAAAATGAAACACTAACCGTTCTTCCATAAGCCAATAAGATATGAAGGTGGGAAGGCTATAAAATAAGTTAAAGAATATTTAAAAAGTGCCATGTATTGAGTTATTCATGTAGTGGATATTTTTAGTGTATAGATGGGTATAAGTCGAAGTTGAAAAAGATGACGAATGATTGACATAAAATAATGATAAAAACTTCTTCAATACATTTTGATACCACTGTATTCCCGGGCATCAGCACTTCCGTAACACAATGTTCAACCGCTACTTCGTTTTAGGTTTTTAAAGACGGTCAGCTCAGCCATTTCATTGATGGGAAGAGCTCTGGGGACCAGTGGATGTCGTTCATCAACTGTGCCAGATTTGCCCACGAACAGAACCTGGTTGTTGTACAAAGCGAAGATGATATTCATTACGAGACATGTAAAGATATAACTAAAGGTATTACTCGAATTATTTTTATGCATTTATTTTAACTCTCTTTATAGTATCTTTACATTTTATCTATAAAACATTTTAGATATGGTTCACTTAAAAACACGATTCGTTGTGGTGTTTTTAAATGTTTTCCAATGTGTTTTTATCTTTCTTGTGCACACGTGCGAAATGTGACTTTCCACCACTGTTTGTGATTTTTTAATAGATACTGTCTTACTTGTCATTGACATTTTAGATGTGGATTGTTTTTGTTGTTTTTGTGTGTTTTTTTTATTGTCTTAAATTTTTAGATGTGTTTTTGTGTCGTTGTTTTTGGTTAATTTTCACTGTTGTGTTAAATGTTTAATATGTTTGTACTCCATGCTAAATGGGAAATAAAGATATATATAATCAAAGGAATTTGCAAAAAATGATTTGAAGGTCGGATGTGGATATCTGTGAATATCTGTTTTAGGTACAGAACTCTTAGTTTGGTATGGTGACACCTATCAACAATTCATGGGAATACCACTTGGTTTAAAGGACGAGCAGGAAGCCGGAGAAAATAAAGAATCATCAGACGGTATGGACATCCATAACTCGGATTTAGAATTATTAAATAATGATTAAAGACTAACATACCTTATAAGCCCTAAAATGTCAACATTTTGATTTTTTCGAATCATTCGAAACCTAAGTTAAAACTGTGGGCAATTTTCATATTTGATGTTGCCCAGTGCAGTGAAAACTATTGAATTACATCTTAATATAACATTAACCCCAGACTTCAATTCGATAACATTTCTGAATATCTAAAGACATCGAAGTAATAATATTTTTATAGTGTTCATTTCAAATATATGCCATTTTGAGCAATGCCTTTAGCCTTATTTGGTACATTGGATTATATTTAATCTCTAGCCTCGCGGTTATTATGAAGTTACCCAGATAAGCCGGAAATCGAAGTTAATAGTATTTTTGTGTAATTAAGCAGCATACTTTTAGAATGCCCAAAGTACAATATCCCAGACGCACTCTTTTATGCTAATTAACCCTTGTATTTTTTGACTTCTAAAAAAATAAAAATTAATCTTAACGTTCTCAAAAAGTGATGTTAATGTCACATGTAGCGTAATGTAATATGGTATTCGTTTTCAGCTACATCAGATGGGTACACCTGTGAGCGATGTGGAAAGGTTTTTGCCTACAGGTACTACCGGGACAAGCATTTGAAATACACAAGATGCGTTGACAAGGGAGATAGAAAATTTCCATGCCATCTATGTAATAGGTAAGCAAAAATATTTATATGATTATTACAGATTTAAAATTACACTTGTCTGTCTTATATATTGTTTATATTCGTGTTATATATTCGTGTCATACGCCTACATGTCAACACTATCTTCAATTTAAAAAATAAGAAACCAACATTCCATTAATTCTTATAGTTGCGATACATGTTTAATTGTATAGTTTCTAAATAACTGAATAACGCTGACATAATAGATGTCACCCTTGTTTGTCTTTGATTTTCTTGGGCCACACCTCTATTCAGTTCAATGCTAGAAACTTGCAATAGTCACTTTATTTCATGATTTGTCAAAAGGTGTTGGTTGAATCTATCTGAAACTCGAATGACTATCGGATGATACTGTTGATGTACATATTGTGATTAAACATGAAAATGATGGTTGTCACACGAATAAGCCAAGGTTTTAATGAATCTTAGCATTGCACCGAATGGGGATTTGGCCCAAGTTTTTTTTAAATGTCATGGAAGATGATTTAAATGACATAACTGTGTAAATCAAACTTATTATTGGAGAAAACTTGTCACTGAATTCAAACATGCTATCAAAAATAAAGAAAAGTCATTAGAGGTAAAAAAGGTATACATGTATCACCTTTATATAAAGGGCAATAAATATATGCATACACATACAACACGTGTCATTGGAAATTATTTTCACTTGATAGGTCATTTGAGAAAAGGGACAGACTGCGAATACACATCCTCCACGTCCATGAGAAACACCGTCCTCATAAATGTTCCGTTTGCGGAAAATGTTTCAGTCAGTCGTCAAGTCTCAACAAACACATGCGGGTAAGTACAGGTGTATTTAGCACACATAAGGTTTAATGGGACTACTTGTAAAGATTCGCTTTAAAAACTAAAGCAAGATTTGCCAATGATTTTTCTAAATATACCCTTTTATCATGTTGTACATTTTGGTATTGTGTTTATTAGATATATGCATATGTCGTGCATTTACGTAATTTTTCAAATTGTTTTCAGGTTCATAGTGGGGAGCGTCCCTATAAATGTGTATACTGCAGCAAGGCATTTACAGCTTCAAGTATTCTACGGACACATATACGTCAGCATTCTGGAGAGCGACCATTCAAGGTAGATCCATCATCGCATTTACTCTCATGAAAAAATTGGTGAAAAGTGAAACAAACCCCCAATATCCAAAATTATGATCCAACTATTCAGACATCATAATAATCCAAAACAAAATGATCACGGCACATTTAACGTATAGCCTACTAGAGTTTTTGAAGAACAATTTTAAATAATACCAATAGATATAGATGGTAGATCAATATTTGGCTTCCATATACTCCGTGTCTCTGTGATTTAATGTACCTGTAAAAGGTGTAAAAGGGTAGGAGGTCCTATCAAATTATGGTCCTACTCTTCATTGATTTATATCTTTCCCTTATTATCTTATACACAATCAGGGCCAGAAAGGGCTGTTAAGAAAGGGGACCATAATTCCTGGGGGACCATAATTTTTTTCACACCGGGCCTGTAACTGAATATTGCTTCAATAAATCTTAAAATAATGAATATGAAAAACAAAAAAAACGATGCATACCTGTCTCTAATGAATATACATGTCTGTTGTTGACATTTCCAGTGTAAGCACTGCGGCAAAAGCTTTGCGTCTCACGCAGCCCATGACAGCCATGTAAGAAGGACGCATCCGAAAGACAAACCATTTACGTGTGCTAAGTGTGGGAAGAGTTTCACACTCGACTATGAGCTGACATTCCATATGACCTCCCATGCAGGTATGACATTGCTGTCATTCACCTTACTGAACATATGGGAAATATGTTTCAAAGAAACAATAGAGGCTCTTATAACTTGTTTTCAATTACAATACTTATCTGGTTGCAGAGGAATTTCATATTCAACAATATCTTATACTTAATATGCTTCAGGGGAACAAAATGATTTTTTTTCATTTTAAATCTGGTTGAAGAGAAATTGCATACTAGTATTTAACAGTGTATAATATTATGATAATTCACCCTTCTTTTACATGTGAATTGTGTTTTTGATTTTGCCATTATATCTGAGTGCATCGTTTTTTTAATTTTAGTTTTTGGATTTCACCTGAGTTGATATTTTATAATTATAGAAGCAGGAACGAGTGCTGGTGTTAGCGATTGTGCAAAGAGGTTAGATTCAGACCATGGGCGATCCAGTGTACGGAGTGATTCTAGCAGCGGGTATTCAGAGGGGGACATAGCGGATGTATCAGACTCTGTCATTGATGTAGTTGCATAGGCGCTAAATGATTGTTATGTATCAATGTATACGTGGAATGAACAGTCAAATTATTGTCACTTAAAAAGGTTGACAAAATACTAGTCTTAGATTGATATACTTGATGTATATAATAAATAAATAAATTAAATAAGATTGATATTATTGATTATATTTTGAGAGATATACGAGAATGGATAGTACATATTAGGTCGAAATATGAAAATGACGTTTGATTTATCATATCCAAATGTTATGAAGCCACGGGATCTTGAAAAGTATAGTATAGTAGGTTTATTTTGAAAACATCCAAATACATATCGAATGTCCCAACAAGCGAAAAGGACGATTCTCGGTTTGGAGAACGAAGTTCATCAATCTAAATGAGCATTATCCCTGCTTCGGACAAATTTGATTTATCTACATAATATAGATTTGAATGTCCTCTTTTGAATAGTCATAATTTAATTTGGGTAATATTTCTAGATTTTTCGCAAAAAAATATTAGCGCAGTACACTGATGAACTTCTTTCCCCAAATCGAGACTTGTATTTTATTGAATCGGTCTAATTGAGCGTTATCCCTGCTTCAGACCAATTTGTTATTTTTACATCTTGGAGATTTAAATGTCCTGTTTTGAATATTCATAGTTTAATTTGGGTAATATTTCTATATTTTTCATGAAAAAAATTATTAGCCCAGGAGACTGTTCTCCAAACCGAGAATCGTCCTTTCTTTAAAGTAGCCTCAGGGTATCGTGAGCAAGTTGTACAAATATGAAAGAGATCGGTTACATCTCAGAATTGACAAATTACTCAGATGCGAGTAGGTACTAGGTAGTTACCAGTTTCACCACCAGGTGGCTGATTCTGATTAATTAACATGGCAGGTATACAATAAAGTTCCCTTAAACTTGAATATTATCAGTTTAAGTGGATCAATTTTCATACTATCCTTTTGTATCTAATAATTTTACAAATGAAAATATGCACCTCAAAAGGTGTTGATGGACGTTTTTATTTGGAAGATATCATATGTTGGTGACCAAAATTGGGCTGAAAGCAATAGATATTTTGGCATGAGTTTTATTCTTTGGGGAGATTACGTCTGGTTTTTCGGAGAGGTGACTGTTTCTGGTAACGTTGAAGCATAATTTACTTGTCACATTTATTTATTTTTTGAAAAACGGTAAAAGGTCAAATCAAGATAATATTTTCGAATATTTTTTCGTATTGTGAATTCTAAAAAACTTAAATATTTTTGATCAAGCTAAAAATATAAGCATTTATGAAGCGGTCCATGCGAGGTCACACAAAAAACTGAATGTACATGTACCGATTATTGAAATTCACTGATTTTAATTAAGTAAAGAGTGAAGAATCTCACTGAGATTTCCGGTTAACTTTCGTAAAACATGCATGAGGTTGTGAGAAAATGAACTTAAGAACACATTCACACTAAAAATCCACCAAAAGTAAAGAATCTCACCGAGAAAGCGATTAACTTTCGTACAATATGCACGAGGTCATAAAATGAACCTAAGAACCCATTCACATCGAATCTTCATTAACAAACAATGGATTACTAATCTACTGTCAGCTATTGCATTACCTAATCGAATATCTATGACATATTTACCAATCACTTGACACTTTTCATGATTTTGGTAAAATGTCTCAATAGAAACTACAGAGTGTTCAAACAGTTATAATACGGGGTGCCCTTTTCTGCAATTCCAAATCAATCTTCCTCTCAGGTTACACGTATGCATGGTGTTGGTATTATGGATCATTCTTATGTCACCACCAACCACCAAAAGTGTTGACATATTGTTATAGTCTCCAATTTTTTGTGGAAGGTGTTCGGCGGTTTGCGTCTGTAACCAAATTTTACAACTTCTAATAACTGAGCAAGTACTGTTTAGATAGCCTTCAGTTTTTACTGTTAACCTATATAAACGTGTTATGAGTTGAGTTCCAACACAACCTAAATCTGTTACCATGGCAACATATTGAAGGTCAAAAAGGTCTTTTTTCAACTTGAAGTCAAATTGACCATTTTTTCAAAATCATCTACAAGTTCTTATAAGTTCAATTTTGACTTTAGATTTGACTTTCATCTGTAATAATATATTGTTTCACTTTTGTAACTATTTGCAGGTGGTGACGTTTTGTCATGCTAATGTCTTGTTTAATATTTCACTCACATAAACAATTATTTCCGACAAAATACTGGTCTACCCAAGTACCCATTGTATGGCACATGTAAAATATATCATATGTAAAAACGTGATAAAGACTGGATGAACTTAGTAACACCCTGTAGTTGAAGACATCCTCATACCTTTAGAGATATACAGTACCTGTTATATTAACATGATAGTATTTAGATTGATTTTAAAACCACAGTCAAGTTGACTAGTCTTATAGTTACTGATAGATCTGAACACTCCGATGAAATGAAGGACGTAAAGATTTTTGTTACATTCATTGGGATATTAACAACTGCCAATGCGCAAAAATGTGTCTTGAATATGGACACTTTAGAACTTCAAGGCAACTTTGATTTCTCTAAGGTAAGTAAAAGAAACAAAAAATAAATTTTGAAGCAAATTAATACATTTGGAAAAATGGATTCAAAATCCCTTTATGGTCAATTATTTGGATAATAAAAGTATTTCAAGACGATATGGGAAGTATGGAGTAAATTAAAGGCAGTTGGTGGTCAGCCATGATCTGACCGAAATGGAAAACAACAACAATGTATTTTATGACCTATTCCATTCTATTCCATAGTTCATGGGCACGTGGTTTGAAGTGAAGGCCTGGTTTCACAGTGGCGTATCTGTGGATACTTTGTGGAATGATTACTATAGACAATACAGTGAGAAGTCAACTGGCATGGCTGATGTATTAACTATAGGGCGACCTAAAAATAGGTAGGTCATGAGCACTGAATATTTCGTTCATGTATTTTTTTATATCGATCGTATAACCTCCAAAATTTAAATGGGATATCCGGGAAGAGGGTCTTGGTGAAGGTCTTAACACTTAACCCGGCACTTTCTCATATTCTACCCTCAATTGGGTAAAATCGGGGTAAAATGTAAATTAATCAATCAATCAATCAATTTATCAAATCCTTGAGGAGACATCATATGATACTAGACACATGCATTTTCTGTTTAAGCACTGAATGCACACAATGGACTGGGCACAAGTTAGTTTTAGGTGGAAGACTTTACCCAGCTAGACTCACGTTGAAATTGAAAACGTCTCGAGGAACCATTGGTAAGTTTAGTACGTTTTGTAATTACACGTATCTTGACACAGCAGTCCCTCAGCAAGCACTCGCGCATTGTAGCTAAATCTCAAAATTAAAATTCCTTTCTCGTCGATTTTTCCCTAGGTTTTGAAACTACTGTAGTTAAACCTTGCGAGATTTCTCGAGATCTTTCTACAGTTTTCTTCTGTAGAGGAACCTTCCTAATCACAAATTAAAGGGTCTATGCATAGTCAGAAGTCTTCCTCTTTTCACAAAATGTTTAGGTAGCTAGGGGTATGTTCTAGGAGGTTTATTTTGCAAAAAAAAATTATGTATTCAATATTTTAGGTCCTAGATTGTGTTTTGTCTCCCCTCCTTTTTAACTGATATTTCATTTTTTCACATTTTCGACCAAATTACCTAATCTACAGATTTAGGAAAGGTAAAAATGGTTTTATTCCTAAAAAGGAAGATCCTCTATTACCCTACACCAAACTAGTTCTTATTACATTCTTGAAAACGGGCCGGCTTAAACTGTGTACGAACGGATTGGAAGTACTAAGAACCGTTTGGGGTATTTTTACAAATTTCATGAAGGTATTCGAACAGAAAGGTCCTCCAGAACTTAAAACATGCTCAAAATTGTCTAGTGGTCGCCAGGTTCTGCATTCAGAACTAGTGACAACGTACTTAAGACGAACTGGACGGACTGAACCTCGTACTTCAGTCCTACTAGGGACGTTTTTCGAACGAGTTGAACTGTCTGAGAACGTATTAAGAATAAGGTGGAACTAATTGCAAACTGATCAAGGACATATCAAAGACTGCTTATGAGCGAGTTAGCAAAACTATAGCTACATGTAAATGTATCACACCAAACTAGTTGCCACTGCGTGCTTCAAAACGTAGTTTTAGCATGTGGTTGCATGAAATTGATATTTTTATTTCTAATAAAAAGGGATATGGAAAAACGATTTAATTGTATTTTACAAAACTATTATATTAAACGATTTCAATTCATTTTAGTGGACAAACCGTTGTATGTGGTAGCAACTGATTATGACAACTACGCATTGACCGTAGAATGTATGAATAGAGCAACACTGTATGCCAATGGGACGTGTCTTCCTGATCCGAATGTGTACGTTCTAAGTAGGAAAACGGCATTAAATCCTGCTGATGAAGCACGTGTAGATGACATCATAAACACTAAGATATGTCATACTGGCCTCGATGAATACAGACCAAACATCCACGGCAAACGTAAGTTGTATCACAATGCATAAACTATGTTCATGAAAATGAGTTTATGATATAAGGTCATGTACGTATGTACGTATTCTCGGGGTAGGATAAGTACTCCGGGCCCAATAACAGTTAATACATAGTAAATTCAAAGAAAGATAGTCTAGCTACAAGCCCCTGTGACCCCCTCGCCACTACAACAAGTGTGAGGTGTTTAGTCAAGTAGAAGGGGAGTCACAGAGCCTTGTACGGTGTAACTAGTCTCAAAGAAAAATTTTGTTGTCAAGAATCTCAGTAGCAATAATGTTATTGTCATCACCTGTTAGTTGTTAGATTTGTATTACTTAAACCAATTACTTTTTTTTTTCAGAATGTGAATTACCTGGAAATGGTGCTTCAACGATCTCACTTCGGCTGTGTCCGTTCATAGCGTTGTTTTCAGTGTCCAGTCTCTTAAGGATGATGTTGTGATCGGACTGATGTTTTGATTGACCAATCTTTTTAAGGATTTATCTCAAGTCGCAAAGTTTGCTGGACAACATGATGTCGGGATTTCTCTGAATTTAGAATACTCACATTACATACACTATATTAGTCATATACCTTTTTTAAATCAATATTTACTAGTCTTTATAGATTTAGAGCGACTACAGCAAAGTGTAAAAATGAGCGAAATCGGTTGGATTCAGTTCCTCCATCAAAATAGGAGAAGAACAGGATTTAAAATATTGTAAGCTTATTGTATTTACTGCAATATTGTATTGTATTATCCCTAGTTCCTCCTATAAATGTGCAAAAATAACGATTACAATATTTTAAATTTAAACTTGTTGTTCAATCAGCATTTGATATTACCGAGAAGTTCGTTACTCATGCCTCCACATTCATATTACTAGTAGTTGATAAAAAAAACAAAAAAAAAACAAGACGCTTTATTATGTCCATATGATTTGTATCCTCCAACACATGCTTAACACATTCTATTTACTAAGGAACTAGATATAATTGAGACTTTATATGAAAATAATTTAAATACTACATTGATTAAATTACCGTGTCAAATTGCAATATCCGGGTGTTGTAACAATTCATTGTGCATATTCTCGATATCGCATTGTAACTTGTTTTTTGTTGTTTATTTCCGGACGCAATTTATGTCAAGTTGGATTGTATTTCCATTGCTAGTACTTCCGATATACCTGCAAACGAGTAATATGAGTGTTCATGTTATGGATAAACAATGAGACTTAGGTGTTTGGAAAAATAATAAAATTAAAAAAGATAATGCCCAGTTATATCGGTTTGTTATCTAAATTGCCCGGATTATGTGAAAGGATGTAGGAAGAGGCTACCTTATGTCCGCCATTGGGTATATGGACATTTTAGCTTTGTATTAATACATTCTTACAACTATGTAAGTATGAAGTTTAAAATCAAGGCTAAAACGATAAAAAAAATATCTGATTTGTTTACTACATCTCTACCATATCCGAGCATGCATTCAAGGGGATGCAAACTGGGTACATTTCCCGTTTTATTGTATAGCTAAAAATTAATCCAAGTAATTTAATATACTGGATGGCGAATTTAATACTCTACCGGCATATTAAAACTAGGAATGTAAGTATTGGTTTTGACAAATTATTATGCTTTGGATGGGGGGGGCACAACGCCATTTGACACCCTGTATATTCACGTTAAAGTTTATACATTTACAGTAGACTTACTTTGAAAAGCGAATTCAAGTAAGTTGACATATTTTGAATAAAAGCACACTTAAATTATGTTCATCCCAATATCACATACAACGAGTCACGATATATATTTGATACAGTTTTTTCTGAAGGATAAAATAGCTCCATCAACAGTGGACTTGGTGGGAGAGCTCATACAGGTAGTACAAGTTCAGTCTGCAAGTCAACAGTTGTATGTAATCACTCTAGATTTGACAGCATGGATGTAATAAGGATGCAGCAATTGAAATATATTATATTCTTCTTCTTATCAACTGTCACTGCAGAAAAATGTGTCTTAAATATGACAAGTTTAGACCTCCAAGCCAACTTTGATTTCGATAAGGTAAGTAAAACATCAAAGGAAAAGAGTATAACTGTATTGTAACGGGCCAAGGAATGTATTCAGGAACGCAACCGTCAACATCATATACTTCGTTCATAAACAGTCTTCAATTCGTCCATCTCATTCGCAGTTCGTGCACAACGTCGTTTACACGTCTCTCTAGAAAGATGGAAGTACGGCAAATCGGCAATCACGTTCCTAGTCTAGTAGGTCATCCGTTTGAAGTATACGTTGTTACACGATCAAATCACAGAACGGTATAGTCGGCATCAAATTTTGAAATGATTCAAAATTTCCTTTCCGTCCGAGCACGTTCATAAAGTTCGTAAACAGACAGTAGAACATTACAGCTACGTTCGTTCCGTTCGCACACAGTTTGAAAATAACACCAGTTCGACAACGTTTTGAGGAACGCATTGTCAACTAGTTTGGTATGATATATATATTTTTGCAAACTCGTTCATAAGCAGTCTGTAATACGTCCTGAATCAGTTTAACCCGTTTGAAATTAGTTCTACCTCGTTCTCAATACGTCCTTAGACAGTTCATCTCGTTCTGAAAACGTCCCTAGTACGATTTAAGTACGACAGTTCCGTTCGTAGTACGTCCAGCTCGTATTAAGAACGTCGTCACTCGTTCTGATTGCAGAAACAGATTGAGAGAAAGTGGTGACCACCAGAAAATTTTGAGAATGCTCTAAGTTCTGGGCGACCTACTCGTTCGAGTTAGTTCATAAAGTTTGTAAATAGACCCCAAACGGTTCTAAGTAAGTCCAATCCGTTCGTACACAATTTAGACCCGTTTTCGAGGACGTAGTTAAATAGTTTGGTGTGGTAGTAGGGTTACGTTCGAGAATGAAGTGAGATCAGCCTACTATCATACCGTTTTGTGATTAGATCGTGTGATAACGTAGGAACGTAGTTGCCGTACTTCGACCCGACTAGTGACGCGTTAACGACGTTGTCTAATTAAGGAATAAATAATGATAGGCCATTCAATATGGTGAAATTCTGCACGAGTTGGACAGAATGTTGTACAAAGCACGAACCGAAGGTGAGTGCATTTGTACTAACATTCTGTCCATTCTGTCCATTTCAGTAGTGAGAACTAGTTTGGTGTGATAGTAGGGTTACGTGTGAACACCAACATAATGCGACCTGAAAATGAAATGGACGTATTGAAGACTGTTTATAAACGAAATAGCTAGTTTTTTCCCCGATCACAGCCAGATTTAGCCCGTCTTACGACATTTTTGTAAGAACGGTTGAGAACTAGTTTGGTGTGATAGGGGGGTTAAAGAATGATGATAATATGTGATACGACACTTTCCCTAAGGTGGACATTATCTGAAGTTGACATTTTTGATTATCTCTTATATGATTTTATTAGTTTATGGGTAAATGGTTCGAAGTGAAGGCGTGGTTCCACCGTATAGAAGGATTCTCTGATTATGATGCTTGGAATGATTTCTCTAAGGTGTACACCAAGAAATCAGATGGTGTAGCTGATGTATTTGAAACAGGAAGAGTCAAAAATAGGTATCATGTATCAGTTATCGCTTTATAAGTCTCCAGTTATTGTTTTGCCCCCTATTCTTCTTATTTTTCTGAAATCGTAAATCAGAATTTTTCATATGTGGTCAGAATGGAGATTCGACTTTCGATTGATCTTCTATGACCTTTAAAAATTAAAAAGATTATTTCTATGTTATTCGGGATTTCTGACATTTTACAATGTTTCTTCCATTTTCTTAAGAAATGAATAATTTTGTTTAATAGTATTTCTCAACGTATTCCTTTGAATCGGAGCTTTAATTATGTGCCACCAGTTTTAAGATTATTCTTACCGCGTTCCGATTTACCAAAACATTTTTTTGTTTTAGCGATAACTGCAACAGAAACCAGAGAGGACGCATATTGTTTGCAGGTGGACGTCTTCATCCAGCTAGACTCACATTGGGAGATGATAATTCTACTTGTAAGTCTAAGAATGTTTTCAACGTAGTACCGTACATGTAATTTTTCGCAAATAGGCTCTCATGGGCGTTTATTTGAAAGAGGGGTGTATGGAAAAGTATTTTTCCTCTTTATGAAGGCGTTCTTTCGAGGGCAGTTTCAAATAGGAATGAACAATATTCACGGAAAAGTAACATTATGATAACTGGAATTGAGGAGACGGAAAATGAAGATTGTAAATCATTAATTCTTGAAGTTGCCCAGCAGATTGAATCAAACATTTCTAGTTCAGATATTGATGTCGCACACAGAGTTGGAATTAAAGTACCTGGTCGAAAGAGAGCACTAACCCCCCTATCACACCAAACTAGTTCTTACCCGTTGTTGCCAGTCCCACGAAAACGTCGTAAAACGGGCTCAATCTGGCTGTGGTCGGGAAATATGTCTAAAATAATTACGGGCTTCAACTGTGTACGAACGGACTGGACGTACTTAGAACCATTTGTGGTCTATTTACAAACTTCATCGAACGTACTCGAACGGGTAGGTCCTCTAGAACTTAGAACATGCTCACAATGTTCTCTTGGTCGTCACGTTCTTCAATAAGAACGAGTGACAACCTACAACTTCAATCCTAGTAGGGACGTTTTTACAACGAGTTGAAATGTCTTAGGATGTATTGAGAACGAGGTAGAACTAATTGCAAACGGGTTAAAACTGATTAAGAACGTATTTATCAACGAGTTAGCAAAAATATAGCTATCACACCAAGCAAGTTGCCACTGCGCTCTTCAAAACTGGTTTTAAACTGTGTGCGAACTGAATGGACGTTCTACGGTCTGTTTACGAACTTCAGGACTTTCCCGGACGGGGAATGTGATTTAGAATTTTGAATCGATTCAAAATTCGATGGCGACCATACCGTTCTGTACTCAGGTCATGATGACCTTCTAGACTAAGGGACGCGTTATACGACGTTGCACACCGACGTGGTGCGACCTGAACGAACTGCGAATGAGATGTCCACGTATTGAAGACTGTTTATGAACGAAGTAGCTATAATTATTTTAGATATATTTCCCGACCACAGCCAGATTAAGCCCGTTTTACTACGTTTTCGTAGGACTGGCAAGAAACAAGAACGAGTAAGAACTAGTTTGGTGTGATAGGGGGGTAATCGTCAGTCGTCACCGTACGGAAGTGGATCATTTTCCAAATTTGTTCTCTTGTAAATCAAAAGTACTTACTTTTTATCAAAATTAATATTATACTTAAAATGCAGTTATGTGGTAAAAAACTTTTAAAAAAACATATACAGTTATAAAGTTTTTAGAAGGCAACCTTGTGTGACCCTATTCTAGAAGCAAAAGCCCCCGTTACAATTAAAACGAATATATTTTCTTAATAAGGGAAGTCAGTAATTTTTAAACGGTATGTTCATTTTTGTGGCGGAGTACTAGACAACGACACCTCAATTTTGGAGCAGCTCAGGGACTAGTAGTTTTACTATTTCTTATACGTTATAAGCTAATATTAGAAGCTACTTCTTGCGATTGTGATTCTTTTCAAAATAACCAATTCAATACATATACACGTAGATACTATGGCGATGTATGTGGTAGCGACCGATTACGACAATTATGCCTTGACTGTGGGTTGTTCTCATGAAGGAAAGTTATACGCCAGTGGGACATGCCTTCCTGATCCAATCGTACACGTACTAAGTAGGACGACAATATTGCAACCCGGTCATGCAAGATACCTGGATGATATCATTAACAAAACAATATGCCACGCGGATCTTCAGGAATTCAGACCTAACTTCCACTCTCGGCGTAAGTTAAAAAATACCTTGGCGACTAAAATGATTGATACGGCAAAATAACGCTCTTGTCTACCAAAATTCATTTTTCTATTGATATATCCTACCTTTACAATTGACAATGTTTATTTTCAGCATGTGAAGGGCCCGTGGGCGATGCGTCAACGTTATCGTCTTGGTTGTGCTTGTCAATGGCTTTGGTTTCTACTTTTATGTCCCATATTTGGACAGTAGTGTGATCAGATGGACCATATTTCAAAATTTGATATTCTTAGAAATTAACACTGTTATTGTCAACTAGTTTTTAATTAGTGAAATTTGCTACCATATGATTGAAGACACATCTTTAGTACAACAAACTGTTATGTTAAAATGAAATTTTGCATTTAACCCGGTTGACCTTTAGCAACCTATTAGATTATCCTGCTTACGCTCAGAATACAGATCCAAATGATAGAGAATTAAGAAAGAATAAACATTCCTACTGTGGAAAATATATTAACTTTTTCATAGTTCTATGGAGATCCAAAATGTACCGAGGAGCATGTCAGTAATAAAGATAAATCAACGATGGATACATAAAGAGCTGCTTATTTTGATTAGGATTGCATGGATTCTTTTATGTTAAACGATCTGTATATTTCGTATTTCAATAGAACTTTAAATATTTAGTAGATGTTTTGACAATAAAGTTTTTTCGGGATGAATATAACTCGCGTTTTATAAACAGTAACTTGATTTCAAATCACAAATATACAGGCTGGTCCAAAAGATTTAAATAGAACATTGATTTACCATTTGCAGAAATTGTATTCCTCCTATAAAATACACCAAAAATTTCCCGAAGCCATGTTGGGGTTATTTGGAGGCCATCCAATTGTTTGGACAAATGAAGGGGGGGAGTTTTTTCAAGATCTTTGCTCCATTGTCAGTTTTAATGTCAGTCTTTCCTTGATTAGAAATGGCAATTGAAACCATAACTTGTCGCTAAAATGGCTACGTGGTCGGCACAAATGGATGCAGCTTGTATAAATCTTATATTGCAAAAGGAAATGTTCCACTTTTTTGGACCACCCTGTATATATTTGGTCTGAAAGTAAACAGTTGTATGTAATCACTCTGACGACATGGATGCAGCAAGGATGCAGCGAGTGATATATGTTATATTCCTCTTAACAACTGTCACTGCAGAAAAATGTGTCTTAAATATGACAAGTTTAGACCTCCAAGCCAACTTTGATTTCGATAAGGTAAGTAAAACAACACGAAAAGGGAATGAACATGACTATATATTATACGGGGTGTATTAGGATATATTAAGGTACGTAACATTGTATAATTTTAACATATAGAATAATGATGATATATGATACGATATATCTGTCTCTATGGTGGAAATCATCTGCTGAAGCTCACATCTTTGTCTCTTATATGATTTTATTAGTTTATGGGTAAATGGTTCGAAGTGAAGGCGTGGTTCCACCGTAACGAAGGATTCAATGATGATGATGCGTGGAATGATTACTTTAAGGTGTACACCAAGAAATCACCTGGTGTAGCTGATGCATTTGAAACAGGAAGAGTCAAAAATAGGTACCTGGTATCAATTTGAGTCTCCAATTAAGTTGTTGTGCACCCATTTCTTCTTATTTTTCGGATATTGCGAATCAAAATTGCTGTGGTCAGGATGCATACTTATCCAGGATCTTGGCAATTTCGATTTTTCGATATAATCGATGAAATTTGTTTAAGCGAAAAAATACATTTTAGGTTTCGAAATTTTCGATTTCATTAGTTTAATCGAAAAAATATGTTTCGATTCTTTCGATTTTTTCGATATTTTCGATAACATCTACCGTCACAATGTTCAGTTTATTTTCAAATCATCCAAACTTGGCAAAATGGGTACCGTTCAAGATTTTGGGTATAGGGTAGCTTGGAAAATGTTATAGAGCTATCTAAAGCTGGGGTGAGGGGTTAAGTTTAGTGGTTAGGGGGGTTAAGTTATGGTTAGGGCTGAGGATTTAGAATTAAGGTTGGGGGCTTAAGGTAAGGGATTAGGGCTCGAGCTTATGGTTAAAGTTAGGGTTTGGGGAGCTTAGAATTCAGATTAGGGGTTGGGGTTAAAATTAGGGTTAGGGATTAGGTTTAGTGCATAGGGTTAGCGTTAGGGTTGGGGCTTATGGTTAAAGTTAGGGTTTGAGTTTAGGGCATATAGGGTTCAGGTTAGGGGTTAGGGCTAAGGATTTAGGGTAAAGGTTAGGTTTAAAAGTTTAAGTAAGGGTTTGGGTGTGGGGGTTAGGGTTATGGTTATGGCTGGGGATTTAAGGTTGGGTATTAGGGCTTATAATGTAAAATTCAGAGTGAGGGGTTAGGTTTGGGCTAAGGGTAAAAATTAGGGTTGAGGCAGGGTCGGAGTTAGGGCTTATCGATTTAAGTAATATTTAGACTCGAAATTATCGAAAATATCGAGATACAATCTGCAGCATATAACCTAGCTTTATACTATACTCGAGAATTTCGAAAATATCGAAGAGGGTCTGGGTTCGATTCCCACATAGCCACAGAATTTAGCACACTCCCTCATGTGTCGGGAAATATTGATATCATCCGAGGGATATTAACAATATCATCCCGACGGGTGAATAACGACCTGATACCAATAACCATGGTAAAGAGAAAATCCTCTGTTGAATGAGAGAAAAATGTTGAAACATTCAAAATGAAAATTTTTGAAAGAATTGAACATTTTTGAAAAAGATTAACTTTTTGATGTTTTTCTGAGGTCATATCCTTGTCATTTTGACGCAAAAAAGCTACTTAAAGGAGGGCACGTTAATTTTAAAAGACATCATAAAAATATAGGTGAATTTCATCCAAAATACTTGAGAGTTGGTGAGTTAACATAACTTTGGATGATCGTTCCAATGGTATATCACACTAGGTACCTTCTGTTAAGGTTTTAGCTGTAGCAGGGGGACGGGACTTATTCGAGTTACAATAAAAATGCTCCAGCTATGCAGGAATACTATTTCTGTGCCACTTAATTTACTTTTTCATAAAATTTTGACCACAGGTAATTTTCCCCAGAACTGGAAATTAGGGGATATCTCCCCAAAATATTAAAAAAGAATAATAAGAATGACATAAGAAAGTATAGACCTATATCTCTTCTCAGTATTACTTCCAAAATATTAGAACGAATTGTCTACTCTAGGATGTACGAACATTTAATTGAAAATAACTTATTGTATAAATACCAGTCCGGCTTTTTGAAAGGGCACAGCAATGAGTTACAACTGTTAGCCATCAAAAACCTAATTTGGCGCAATTTTAGCGACGGCAATGATACACGTGCAATTTTTTGGGATATTTCGGCCGCTTTTGACCGTGTCCCCCATTACCTTCTTCTAAAAAAGTTGAAAGCGTATGGATTTTCAGGAAACTTATTAGTTTTTCTAAAATCTTATTTGACTGATAGGAGTGTCAAAGTAACTGTGAATGGCAAATGTTCTGACACCTCTCCTAGCAACTACATAAACTGTTCTGTGCCTCAGGGAAGTATTCTCGGACCTTTGATGTTTCTCCTCTATATAAACGACTTACCTGACAACCTGACCTCAGAGTGTTTTATTTATGCAGACGACACCTCCCTCTTTGTACCTACTTCCCAAAACAATCCGCAATCTCATATACAAATTCAAAATGATCTAAAAAAATCGAAGCCTGGTCTAAACAGTGGAAACTAGATTTTAAACCAGAAAAGAGCAGAGAAATGACCTTTTCTAAGAAAAATAATCCAATCTATCCACCAGTTATCTTAAATGATAAACAAATTGAAAAAACTGACATTCATAAACACCTAGGCTTCATTTTTGATAAAAAATTAAGTGGGTCAGCACATATAAATTCTATCTGTGCAAAAATCCAAACAGCTCTTAACCCCTTAAAAGCACTTAAGGGTAGACTAAAATCAAAACAATTAAATATTCTCTATACAGCTTATATTCAGTCCTGATTTGATTATTGTGATATCCTTTGCGACTGTGCTCCTATTTGTGACCTTAACAGACTTGACAGTCTCCAGTACCAAGCTGGTCTAATAGTCTCTGGTGCTCTCCCAGGCTCCAGCACTTCCAAAGTACTTAACATTTTTGAACTGGTCCACCTTAACTGAGAGGAGGATCCTCCACTTTAAAACAATTATGTACAAAGCCGTGAATGATTTAACACCTATTTATATCTCAGATATATTTAGGCCATTCATAAACCCTCAAGCAAGATTGTTAAGGAAATCTCGAGATTTCACTATCCCTATTCACTATCCACATAAGTCTCCAATATACAAAATGATGAACCTATGGAATGATCCAGGATCTGTTCCCTTGGAACAAAAGCTCTTGCCAACTATTGCATCTTTTAAAAGAACACTTAAATTAAATTCGTTCCCTGGTGTTGTTTCAACTATTTGTTTAAAATTAACTCGTCAACAAGAACTTTATCTGAATAGAGCCAGGGTAGATTTAGTTTTAAAAGCTCAGCTCAAAGCCCACAATTGGAGCTCAGTTGAGTCATCAAATTGTTTATGTGGTTCCCCTGAAACTTTTCCCCACTTCTTTTTCAAATGCCCTCTGAAAGAACAACAAAGAAATAAATTAATAACTGACACTTTAGGGATATATGGGGACTTATTAACTCATTTCAGAACTCAACAAGACAAAATTCACTTTTTTCTTTTTGGGGATCCATCATTAACCCAATTAGAAATGGATAATCTATTTTCACTGGTTGCGAATTATCTCATTGAAAACACAACCAGAATCTAAATATTTTCCTGCCTATGACCTGTTACCATTTTTCAACATACTACCCCCCCCCCCAGGATATCAGCAGCCCTCCTATCTTTTGTTTCATTGCAAGGCATTCTACCATTTACAGGTGACATCCAGGTTAAGATGAATATTGTACTTTATTGTTTACTT